CCTGTCATGGGGGGGGATATGTGGACTCAAACTCATGGCTCTGTTTCTTTAAAAAGAGTAGCTTTAATCAGTGACCCTGACATGACGGATTCATGTGCATCAGAGGAAATACTTTGTCTAGGCGGGTTCATCAAGTGTTTCATTAAATACTCATTAAATGTGACATCAAAGATCAGAAGAGGAACATAAACTTCTTTATCCTCTTTGTTCTTTTTTAATAAAGTCCTATTGTTGCAACAGATAACCCACGATACAAATCAGAGCTGTTTTCCAAAGCGATGCATCAGAGTCTAGAAATAGAGATGTTGTTTTTCTTTTGCCCTGACTTTGTTTATACAAAGTGCAGTGTGGGCGTGTCCATCAGGTTTGTGTGGGAGACATCTGTTTTTCTAAAGCACAGTACAGGAGCCACACCCAGGGTTCAGAGGTTCAGCCTTTGGGTTTTACTGTTCCACCTCAGGCACAGAACCCAACTTCTGGCAAACGTTGCTGCCCCAACGACTTCTACGACTTTTTACGACCTCTAATGAACCTGCTGCATGTTTCCTGTTCTCCAGTATGTTCTTCTCCACTCTTTAGTTCAGACTGAGATTCTGTTCAACTACACGTAGCATTGATAGAAAGACAAATATTCTCATTATAGCGTCGTATAGAGCAAGGGTTCCCAAACTTTTCGGCATCTGACCCCCAAAATAAGGTACTAGAGACATGGAGACCCTCACTGTCCATGGATGTGGTTAAAAAACCCGGGCAGACTAATAGGCAAATATTATTTTAGTGATGTATTGAAGAAAATATAAAAATATAATAATAATGAATCTCTTGATCTATTTTTTTGTATATATGTTCACACTAATGGGTAAAAAGTCATATAAATTACATGTGTTTTTGGAAGAAGTCACGACCCACCTCTCATGGTCTTGCGACCCCAACTTTGGGAACTACTGGTGTAGACGACTGCTGCTTCGTCTGCTGCTTCCTCATCGTTCTTTCTACCTCAGGAGACCCCCCCTGCCCCCCCTCCTGTTGTCTCCTGCTGTGAGGTGCATGTGTGAACAACCAGATCAGGAGAATATCCGGACCAGTCCTCCTGAAATAATCCAGATATTTTCAGGAGTGCATCTGAGAAAACGTCTTAAAAGATGTCTTGCTTTTCATTTTGCCGTTATGAACCGTGTGTTTTTAGTCATAATGAGGAATCAGGAACCAGACATCCGTCTCTCACACACTATTGGTGTTTTTAAAACTCTCCTTATGACGTTAAATTGCCTTTAATATTCAGTAACCCGTCAAGCACAAAAACTCATCGCTCTGTTAGTGTTATGCTGGAATTAACTGTTTGTTGTTATTGTTGTTCTTGTCTGTTACTTTCTAATGCTTTGTTTCTGCAATGTTCAGCACTTTGGATCATCTATATTGTGTTTAAAGTGCTTTATAAATAAAGTTGAGTTGAATATTTTCATGCCTGGATGTGAGCGTACCTTTCACCCATGCTTTCCCCCGTGCTTCCTGTCTGCAGGCGTGCTGTACCTGCAGTACGGAGACGAGACCAAACAGATCCGCATGCCCAACGAGATCACCAGCATCGACACCATCAGAGCTCTGTTCGTCAGTGCCTTCCCGCAGCTGCTCAACATGAAGATGCTGGAGTCTCCCAGCGTCGCCGTCTACGTCAAAGACGACATGAGGAACGTGTACTACGAGCTCACTGACGTCAGGTACATCCAAATGTTTGTGTCTAGGACAGCATGTCTGGTGTTAACTGCACAGCTAAGGGTCAGTTTGCTCCACAGTGTCAGAATGTCGTTTCGCCCCCCCCTAAACTCCCCCTGCACACAAACCAGCCAGGAAATCCTCTTGCTCCCTTTAAGTTAAAACTTTGTCTGAGAAAGTTATCTGCAGATGCAGCCCTGTTGCAGACTGTCTCCCATATACCCAAACAAAGTGAGGAGCAGTCTTTGAAGCCTCCTCCCTCCTCTGCAGAAAGTTTTGAGTGATGTGAGCCCTGACTTTTTGCACTTTAAAGGTCCTTATATACTTTTCAGTTTGTGCTGCGTGCCGAGCTTTGAGCACCATTTACAAGCCCCAGAAAAAAACACACATATGCTAGCTCACTGCTTTTTCATATTCTTTACACCTTCCTGGTTTGGTATCCACCTGGAAGCAGAATCTGCAAGCAGAGAAAGAATAAAAGCTGTTTATTCTCATCTTACATAATAGCATTTCTCTTAAAGCAACTTTGCCCTGATGTCTTTACTTCCTGCCCGAGTGCAATGTGTACTTAGTGACTGATTCATTATCTGGGCTGTAAAAAAAAAAAAAAGGTCTTGTGATCCTTGAAGGTTGGTACAGGTAACCAGGGTGCAACAGTGCAGTGAGAGAGTGACAGCAGCGAAAGAAAGAAGGATTTATTCTGCGTTGATGCAGTCGAGGCCACATTTCAAACAAAGTATTAGCCGATGTTTTTATAGACTTAAGAGATTTAGAGGAGATGTCAAACAGCAGAGGACAGGTAGAGCCTCCGTCAGGGTACGTGCCCTTGGCGGGCTGCTGAAGAGATCCTGGCTCAGGCAGGATCGGCCGCTGTCAGACGGTGATATCTGGGCTGCTTTTTTACCCTGGGACACTTCTTCCCCTTACAGGAACATCACAGATCACTCCTGCCTGAAGGTCTACCACAAAGACCCGGCACAAGCCTTCAGCCACGGACCGAGACCGGCTAACGGCGACGCAAGGGTGAGTACTCACCACCGCACATGCAAACACAGAAGTGAAAGAAAAACATGAGAAGCTGCTGTAAGACAAGCAGACCTGTTGCAGATAGATCACCCCCGCCTCCGTTCGATTCCTGTTTGCACTTCAGGGGAAAGAATGTCCCCCCCCCCTCGCTTTTCTTTAATCTGCTCCAGCGGGTGTGATATTGTTCTCTTGAGGGGCCTCCCCCCCCCGCACACGCTGCTGCAGCTTCCTTAAGGGACAATCGCATTCAAATCTCTGGACTCTTTTCCTCGTTCAGTCTTCCTCCAGTATCAGCTCTAATCTCACTTGTTCTAAATCTCAGCATGTTTGTTTCCCTCCTGATGTAACAGACCCCCCCCCCCCGCACCCACAGACGAGCTGTTTCCTCAAACATTTTTCCTTAAATCCTCTCTGCTTTAATCCCTCTGACCCTTTTTTTTTTTTTTCCCGTAACCCACTGCTCCTCTCCTCTCCGCCTGCTGCAGCACCATTGTGAGTGCTGCAAAAAAGAGTTACATTAACCCTCTGCTATAATCCTGTTTTTCACACACAGCATGTGTCATAGAGTGAAAACGATAACGGTGTAAGGAATGACGAGGCAGACATGATGATGGCTTTAGAGGTCTCTGTGCTGCAGAAAGTCTCTCTTTAGTCTCCACAGGTGAAAGACGAGTTGCTGCGGCGGCTCTCAGTGGGGACCTTTAAGGGGACGTGAACAAAAGACATTTAAGTGAAAAGTTTCCCAAAAGTAGACAGAAAAAGTGAAGTAAGAGTTTAATAGTACAAACAGTTTAAAAGGCAGGGACGGTTACAACTCGGCATCAGGGGGAAAAAAAAACTTTAATTGTGTTTGGACGTATTTTCAGGCCGATTTTAAAACTCCTGACACTCGCTGAATCAGCAGGTTTGCAAAAAAGTGGGACAAATTCAGCAACTTCACGAGGGCTCTTATGTGCAAACATTGTGAAATCACGATATGAAGTGGAGATATGCAGAGAAAGATTGTTGTCATGAATAGTTCTGTCAATGTTTAACCAGGCAGCCATTGACACAGATACAAAGTCTAGACAACGTGTGTGTGTGTGTGTGTGTGTGTGTGTGTGTGTGTGTGTGTGTGTGTGTGTGTGTGTGTGGCCCCCGGCTGGTTAATGCACACTTTCAGGATATTACTAGAGAAATACGTTCAATGAGTTTTGTTCTTTTTTTAGAATTTAATGGCGGGCTGAACTTTCCCAAAAGACACAGAGACGAGCTGTGTCTCTGCAGCTGTGGGACTTTTAATAATGACACAGAAACCCTGGCACTCAAACCGAAAGGGCAAATACTACAACTAATGATCTGTACACCTGTTCAAACACTTTATCAGGGTGCGGGGGGGAGGGGGGGGGGGATTCTTCACATCTGTTCGGGCTCTTGAGGATCCTCTTGTCCTGCAGGAATGCAGGCCACGCACCAGATTCAAAAACAAAGATCCACAGCTTCTTCTATTATTGATCAAAGCTTTCTGGCCTCACTGAGACGTCTCTGGTTATGAAAGCATTCGTCTTATTCATGTCAGGAACGATCTACAAATTCACCGATGCGTGACTCGATAGGGAGAATAAAGCAGCTGACTGTTTGAATAAAGAGGAATTTCCTAGAATTGAAATCCTCTCTTCAGTCATGTTTCATCAAATGAAAACACAGTGAAACATTTAGAAATATTAATCCGTGCTTATGAAAAGGGGATTCTGCCTGAAGCGCTGCTTTGTGTTTGTATTGAGTAGTCAATAGTGGCTGTCACAGATGATGTTATGTACACATCGCTGCGGGAGATATTTAGTAAACAGAGGTTCAATCGGTGTCTTAATCTCTGGTCTCCTCTCTTCAGGGCGATCCACTCACTGTTGGCATTCATCCTGAAATTAAAAAGTGAATGTTTGTTTTGTTCCACTTGTAATTATTTACTCCCATTTACTCCAGGCACACTGCAGGCAGTCTGTGCAGACACACACAGCTCTTCTGTATGAACATGGCAGCACACCTTCTCTCTCTTTATCGTCCTCTCCGGAAGCTCTGCAGTTTTTTTTTTGTTTTTTTTTTCAGTTTCCATCTCCGACACAGCAAGACATGTAGCCGACTTTATGCACCCCAACCAGACATAGATAAATAGATAGATAGATAGATAGATAGAGATAGAGAGATAGATAGATACTTTATTGATCCCAAGGGAAATTCAAAGCATCCAGTAGCAGGTTACAAAGACATGACATGAAACATTTGTTACAAATTAACCACAAAACCAACGCCCTCCCCCCTCCTCCCATACATATATATTAACCTGAAAAAAAGATTTAAAGAATCCCTCTAGATGAATCAAACTTAAACTGTGCAATTAAAAATAGATTTATACAAGAAATGTACATAACCCGTGCAGGGATAAAAATATGTGAGATTTAAACAGGAACCTATAAACAGTTGAGGAAAAACATCTGTAATTAGACCTGAATATAAAAAATAAAAAAGTGTTGACATGCTGCCTCCATCATCGGACACTTAGGAGCACAAAAACAAGAGTCCACAAGTCAAAATTCAAACCAAATGTTTCTGAACGTGGCCTCCCGTCATCCTGGCATGCACGCTCATGTGTTTATTGTTCTACTGTTTTGTCTTAAAGCTGCAATTTATCATCATGTTACTAAAAAAAGCTGCAGCTGGATTTATAAAGTGGATTTATTCAAAGGATATTTTGAGTTCGGCTTGGCTTCCAGGGGTGTAACATCTGTTTGGGGTTGGACTAGTTTGCCCAAATTGTCCTTATAAGGCCGTGCTGGAATTGGCTTTGAAAGAGAGGGGCGACTTCTCTTTTCAGACGTGCGGGCACCTTGGAAAGAGAAGTCATTAGAGGTTTGATGATAGTCCACAGTGGCTCCGTGCGTCTTAGATTTCCTATTATGTGTTTTTTGTTGCTTGGTGAGACCTGTAGCTGCCGTATTAATGGGCTGTGTGTGCTTTCACTGCCAGCAAGCTTCTTTATTTTTCCTCCTTTGTTATCACAGCCAAGCCTCAGCCCTTTGTTACTGTACACTTTGAGTGGTTGTTGTTTTCCAACCCAACACACACACACACACACATATTTTTATTCCCCCTTCACCTGGTGAAAATCCGTATCTGCACCGGGGCTAATATAAACAAAGATAACACTGAGAGAGCACAGTGTCAGAAACCTGTACCTGAAGTTTTTTTTGGAGGAACTTTGCATGAGGTTTTGTGACTTGTGTTCTTATGCAGGCGTAACCTATGAGTCATACCTCGGAGGAACAATAGGTTGTTTGTCTGACAGGATAGAAGGTAAGACAGGAAGACAGATAGATTGGATTCATCCCTTCGTGTGAAACTCCTCAGCACATCACAAACTTGTTCAGGTTATATCCCTGCTTGTTAGCTCAGAGAATAGTTTTCTTAGCCGATATTGAACTTGAGCTTTGATTAAAGAAAACTCACAATAAGTTGGTAACACTTGTACACATGTAGATATTAAGCATGCTAACCTCCACTCTGATCCTGTATTTGATCATGTCTATAAACCCCTCTATTTCAGCCCTGCTCAGAACAGGCTGTTTCTGTGTCTGTACCTTTAAATATGTAAATGAGCGGTGTCTGACCACGCCCCCTCTCTGGAAGGGCTTGGGTGTACTCGGTGCTTTCTCGCTCCATGTCCTATTGTTTACGGTGAGAAGGCAGACTCAGAGGTTCAGAACAAACACCTAGCTGTGGGAGTGTCACCCACCTGGGGGAGGGGCTACTGCCCTTTGTGATGTCATGAAGGGAAAATCTCAAAAACGGCCTGTGACACAAGGGCTAGAGACACATATGTAAAGTGGATTTGACCTTTAATTGTCATACAGTCATTTGAAAAGTGTTAATGTTAAGATATTAGAACATTCTCCTTTAATGCTCCTTTGATGGGTGGTCCCTCTAAAGAACAGTAATGCAGACAAGCTCACTATAGATCTTTTTGCAAATGATGCAGCTACTTTCCGACCCTTGAGCTAAACGTGTTCCTCTTTTCAGAAAGCTCTAACACACAGGATTCAAATTGAAATGCTGCTCCGTGTACAGTCGCCTTTGCAAGAAACCATTAACCGGCTTCTGTAAAAAACTGCTGACAGTATTTCCTTTTCCCTGGAAAAACAGTGGTGTAAACTGAGTGAGATGGATGTTTTTTGTTTCAAGGGCAGCTTCAGTCCAGACGTAAAAAGTTATATTGAAAATAAACGCTGGCTGAAGCTCTCGGGCGCTGAGATTTATTGACCGATCCTTAATTGGATTTCTTTTCTCGACTCTTTTATGCATTTTGTGAAGTGAAAACTACAACAATGTTCATGCAGTAATATGCTTTTGTGCTTTTTTTTTACAGATGCACAGCGAGATGGTACATGCGGCCCGTGATGGACCCCACCCTCTGAGACAGCCCCCCATGGGTCCGCCACCTCACCCCATGCAGGGCGCCCTACCGCCCTCCCCCCACTCCATGCCCCCGTCCCCTTCTAGGATTCCATTTGGCCCACGGCAGGGCTCCATACCCGGCAACGCCACTATCCCGCGGGAACGGCTGGCTAACGCTAACCCGCCGGCTCGCTCCATCTCGCCGTGTCCCAGCGCCATCCTGGAGAGGCGGGACGTCAAGCCGGATGAGGACGTGGGGGGTAAAAGCCACAGTCTCGCCAGGGGGAACGAGGGCTTGTATGCAGACCCGTACCTGCTCCAAGAGGGGAGGATGAACATGGCGTCCGCCCACGGGCCGCACCCCAACCCCGGGCTAGACGGTCCAGAACTAATGGGGGGGTTTCACCGCGCCTCCATTCGCTCCACAAGCAGTTACGGGGGTCCAAGCCCCTCGGACACTATGGATCATCCGACTCTGTACAGGCAGAAATCCAGAAACAGCCAGTTGCCTACTTTGGGCTCCAAGACTCCTCCCCCATCCCCTCACAGGATGGCGAAGTACGCATGATTGACATCCATGGCGTTCCTCCTCATGGCGGACCTCCTCATGGTGGTCCACCTCATGGCGTTCCACCTCATGGCGTTCCTCCTCATGGTGGGCCTCCTCATGGCGTTCCACCTCATGGCGTTCCCATTGAGAGAAACTCACCTGTGCGCCAGTCCTACAGGAAGGACGACGGGACGGGGACCAAGCCCCGCAGCAACATGGGATCACCTGTAGTTGCAGATCTTCAGGGTCACCTTCAGGGTCCAATCCCACCTGCTGTTGACCCTCAGACACGGTAAGATAAGCACCTTGGGGGACCGGAGGTTACACATAAAGAAGGGGCTGGTGGGGTAGTTCAAATTAGAAATAAGGTTTTTTGCATGGGAGCATGGACTAACTCTGCATCCCAGTTTCACCCTAACCATGAACTGCTGGTTTCCAGTCCCCTGGTTCTGACTCTTAATTCATCACCCATGAATGAAGGCGACACAGTAACCCCCCTCCTCACTGTCTCGAGCATCCAGATGTGCACACAGCAGAATAATAACTCACATGATTATGCATCCGTTTTGGTTTGTTTGAACAACAGATTCCTGTTATCTGACCTTTATTTTCACAGTCCTTATCCAAACCTCGGAGCGTCCAGTGTTAGTTATTGTAGCGTTGTTTTAGACCCAGACAAAGTCCCCACCAACAAAACACGCTGATACCTGCAGACCCCCTTTTTAAAACCCACTCTTTGTTTTTCCATTAGTCTGCAACAGTTGTTATAAAAACAAATCCCCATGTAGAGTTTCGTTTTTTTTTTTTATTCAGTTTCGGGTAATCCATCAGAGATTTTTTTGGTTCTTGGTTTCAGTTTGCCCCACTCTGACTGAGAGAACACAAACATGGAAAGAGAGCCGGGGGGTGGGGTGGTGGTGGTGGGGGGGGGGGTATTCTTGCCACTTAACATGGCCAACATGCTTTTATTAAAACAGGAGGTCAAAGGGCCTACAGGGAACCTCAGAAAACCAAAGACAATATTGACCATGCTGTAGAAGTATTTAAAAATGGTCCAATCAGTCCTAGAGATCAGGTCGGACCACCTGGGCAGCCAAGACCCCCCCCCCCCCCCCCATGAGAAACCCAAGGGGGGAAGTACTGTACTTAGCTTTCCAAAATAAACTCGGTCCCAACACTCAGCACTCTTCAGCTGTCATAGAATGTATTCCTTTAAAAATATACTGCACCACCGAGGTCAGGCATTGGTGATTGTTGTGTCTATCCATTGTCTCTATAGTTCAGTTAAAACCAGGGGGCCGTGTCCTCAGCTGACCCCCCCCCCCACATCTTTTTCCTCAATATAAATCATGACATCTGAGAACAAAAGCCGTTCTCTTTTTCCAAACCTCAAGGCCCCAACCGAGCCATCTCAGTGTTAAGGTTCCACTGTTCAGCCGCCTGGTGTTTGGGCCGTCTTCTGCTCTGAGAGGTGACACACTTTAGTGAACAATAGACTTGATAACCTCAGAGTTCTTTTCTGGTTCGAGTCGTCCATCTTGTTCATTCCTGTGGGACTCAACGACTGAGTCAAGTGCGACAGCTTTGTTGTAATTCTGAAACAATTGATTTGAGTCAACATTACAAATCAATTTGCTAATTATTTCCCCCTGTGTAAGCCCATAAAGCAAACCGTAGATTCATGGTCAGGTAATTAAAAAAACAATTGATTATCCAGTTTTGATTCTGGGCTCATTTTGCTCTCGTTGGCAGCTGTGATAATCCACTCGGCCTCAGTGTTGAAAGTAGAATTTTCTGATGTTTTCTACAGAGAGCGAATGAAGGCTATGGAGCAACAGATTGCCAGCTTGACTGGTCTTGTTCAGCATGCACTTTTAAAGGGGCCAAACACTAGTGGCAGCAAGGAGCCTCCAAGGTAAGCAATCACAGCAGAGGACAGAGTGAGGCATCAGGGGAAATAGAGTTTAAAAATGAGAAGCTTGGCCAGAGTGAGAAAAGATAAAGTGTCCCGTCTACAATGGGCACATCAAACAGGTTTTTAAAAGCATCTGATGGAGAGGAAATAGGTCTGACTGTGAATCTGATATTAAAGTAATTTTTCTTTTTTGATAAACGGCCACTGAGTGGTTTTTTTTACCTGGCTGCATTCCAACTCTCTGCACCTTGGTCTGCTCTGTTACGACCCTGTATGTTAATGTTTGCTTGACAGTTAGACTCAAAGGTCTGTTTCTGCAGTGAGTGTGTTTTTCCCGCCATGTTATACTGAGCACTGGTGGATTTTCTTTTTTTTTTTAACTCCATTAACATCATCTTAACCTCTCTGGTTTGTCAGTCTTTCCCCATCACACTATGTTGTAACATGTTTGTTGATACTAATACTAACCTTTAAGTACAAAGTGCTCCATGATGCTGCTTCCACAATCAAAACTCCTCTTCAGAGTTTTTTTTTTCTGGCTGCAGCGAGAGACCACCGAAGACGTCATCTCCAGCTCACAGCGCTCACAGCGCTCACAGCACACACAGCGCTCACAGCTCAGGTTAGTATCACTGTAATCCTGCTCCATGTCATTACTTTTTCTTCTGTTTTTTTTTTTTTCTAGACAGGAGTTTTAGCGCCATTATGTCTTGTGCAGACAAGCCCACACATCAGCGTCAGTCAACAGTCTGCAATGAGAATCAGGGCTAGAGGGGGAAACAAAGTCAGGCTTCTTTGCTTGTCATCGGTTCATATTCCCTTACAGTGCCCCCCCCCCTCCCCGATACATTGAGTTTAATAAGAGATAAGAGACACAGACCAGCAGGGCTAACACAAGCAGCACTCCTTGCAATACAAGTGTGCAATATTAACCTTAACAACAAAATAACAGTGTAATTATATAATGTGAAAAATATGTGTGCAATAACTTCAGGTGCAATAAGAGATGTAGAAAGTAGAGACAAGAAAACATATTTATATTTTCATTTCATTGTACAGTGTTCCCCTTGTTATTTTTTTGTATTATATCTTTGCTTTAATACAGTGTATAGCTTCTGTACAATTTTTTACATTTACTTAGCTGTTACTACAACTTATTTATTTATTTTATTTGTAGTTTTTTTCTTATAATGCTATTCTATTTTATAGATAATTTTTTTTTTTTTGTAGAAGCTGACTCAGGGAGAAACGCACAAAAATCCCAATGTACCTGTACTGTCCTGTACCTGTGCAAATGGCAGTAAACATCTATTCTATTCTATTCCTTAAATCAAGATGTTTTGCCAGGACTATTCAGCGATTCAATCTCAGCTTTAGCGGCCAGATTTGTGTCGTGATAATAAAGATCTGCCACCTCGCCAGCGGCAGAAAAAAAAAAACAACACACAACACAGTTCATCTGTCTTGAGAGCTAATCTCATGTCGAGCTCGTGTAGCTTTTTCCGAGGGATTTACTTGTCATGTTACACTTCAGTGAACCTACAAAACATCAGAAATGTTACAGCCACATCAAACATGAGAAGTTTTTTTTTTTTCTTTTCCCACCGTCCCTGAAAGTGCTTCTTCATCACTGTCACCGCACAGCCTGCACGTCTTTCTGATGGACGACGAGTTCCCCCCGAGGCCTGAAACACAAACACAAGTGTACACTATAACCTGTACTTCAGGTCCAGGCAGCTGTCAGGCAGTGTGTGAGGGACAAGAGGTGTTTGGATTAGAAAGACAAAAATTTGACCTTTTTACTGCCTCAACGGAGGGTGAGTCTCTGCAAAGAGAGAGAGGACAACATTCCCGGAGCTTTTGTGTCGCGCACAAGCAGTGACACAACTTTCCATAATGAGCACCTTTTATCTGAGGTTAAAAAAAGGTCAAAACAAACTTATTATCTCTGCATTTCTAGTGCTATCTTGTGGTATATCTAAAACCATGGATGTGTCTTTGATATTTCTTTTTGTGCTGCTCACAGCTCTAAAAAAAATTCAATGTGACAAATCAAAACACGTCCTTTCATACCTTGGATCTACCTACGACTAAGAAAGTAGTCCCTCAAACTTGTGTTGTATTCAAGACCACGCTAACAGAGACCAAGACATACCCGAGATACCAGAGTACTCCGAGGCCGAGACATTTAGGGAACGAGACCGAGTCAAGATAAAGACCATAAAATAGCTCTGAAAATGTATCATCTTGTGTGCAGGGGGGCGTGTCACTCGCTTAGACCATAACACGGGGAAGACTGTGGTTAAAACCAGGGTGATAAAAATGAAATTATGAATTAATTTAAGTTATTTGTTGTTTTACAAAGAGGCGTTTTTTTTCTAATCAAAGTGATGACGTGGAAAATAGCCGATCAGTGGTGGACTTCAATTAATATTCAGAGTCCGCCCAGTCTGAGACCGAGACAAGACCGAGTAAAAGTGCTTTAGATTCCGAGATGAGGCCGAGTCCATCGAAAAGTGTTGTCGAGACCAAGACCGGTTTCGACCATTACAACACTACTTCAGACTCAACCCGCTCTGAGGAACCAAAGATTGGATCTGTTTATGAAACAATATGAAATGATCTTCAGGCTCCCTCAGATCCGCTCCTCTGTATTCCGGTGTTTAAAGTGAAAAAAACTCAGGCTGGGCTTTTGGAGGGATTGAATTAAATTATTATTGCTGTCAACGCGTGTGTAGGTACTCTCACCCAGACAACAAATAAAAAGCTCCTTTGGTTGCCATGGTTGCCACCACTTTCCCTCCGTCTCCAGCGGTGACTTAAATGCCAAAACCACCTGACAGACGTTTCAGACTGGCAGCAGCTGCCATTATAATTATATTTATATATGTATATGTATATTATAGATATATATATATATATATCTATAATATACATATGTTCATTTTGTGCAGGTGAAACGACAGCCATGGAGAGTTCATCAGGAATATTAAATCAGAGCAGGGTGTTGGTGTGAAGGATTCATGTGCAGTGATTTACACTCTTAAGTGATCATTGATCTCGTAGTTCAGACATGTTTGGAACAGCATGATCATTCAAAAATATATGTATCATGTAGGTCAGTGGTTCCCAAAGTGGGGGTCGCGAGATGCCTTCCATAAAAAATTTAAAAATAATTTAAAAGTGCATAAGTATATCTTTTTACCCATTTTTGTAAATATACAAAAAGTAGTCCAATGTCATATAAGACGTAGTATCATTAAGTGAAATGGAAATGTAATTAATGTGTACATTTTTTATAGTTTTTAGGCTGTTGTATTATTTTGTGTTACTAGTTTTTTTGATAGGTTTATTAGTGTGTGTACCTAACTAACCACCTTAAAGAACAGTGGGGGGTCCCCCGTTTCTGTCACCCTTCTTTTGTTTTACCCTTATATTAGTTTTCAAATGAATGCTATAATTAGATTTCTCCTCGACCATATTCAGGTGGTTCTCCCGTCATGGCTGCCAAGAGAAGTGCGGCCCCGTCAGACAATCGCTCAGCTCCTTTAAAAGTCAACCTCCTGCAGTTCAGGAAGAATGTCTCCGACCTCAGGATGCAGCTCCATCAGATGAGACAGCAGCAGGTAAAGACCGACTTCTCTCCTTTTGTTGAGAGAGTTCATCTTCAGTGTGTTAGTATCTAAAAGCTCAACTCCTCCTCTTATATCTCTTTCCTCTACTGTGTGTGTGTGTGTGTGTGTGTGTGTGTGTGTGTGTGTGTGTGTGTGTGTGCAGCTCCAGAACCAGGAGGCGCTGCGAGTCCAGCTGAAGCGGGCCGAGCAGGAAATCAGTGTTAAACTTGCCGAGGCCATGCGGGGTCTGGAGGACCCGGTGCAGAGGCAGAGGGCTTTGGTAGAAGAGGACAGGCACAAGTACTTGGGCCTGGAGGAGCGTGTTCTCACACAGCTCGGGTAAGATGAACACACACACACACACACACACACACACACACACACACACACACACACACACACACACACACACACACACACACACACACAAACCTTCATAACAGTGTTAAATAAATGAACTTTTTTGCATTTATTACTGAATGTTGTCCTGGATGGATTTTGACTGAGAGTTTTGCACAAGATGGTTTTAGTACATACCATGCAGCTCCACTTCCATGAACACAAAACCCCTGTAAGGTTTCATTTTTTTTTTTATCAGCTCCTCACCTGTGCTATTCACTTATGGACTCTTTGACAAGCCAACGCCCTTCAAATTACAGCTCGCAGGTTCATACAGGCAAGCAGTGCCCAGCCTCTCAGAAACAGCAGACTCCAAACAATGGACACAACTATGGTGCTAAACTTCTCGCTCCCCTGCTCTTATTTTAATTCCCCCCTTGCCTCTACTTCCAACAGGGAGCAGTAATTGAATCCTTTTATTTGGATGTGAACGGGCAAGGTCAAACAGCGTCGTCTTAATAAACACGACCGTAGCAGCTCCTGCAGACAGGGGAATGAACAGACAGGAAGTCAGTGGATTTAGCTCCCTGTTAGCCTTGGTTTCCAGCCAGTTAGTGAGTCAGCAAAGCTACGGCTGCCGACACTTTAAATAAGGCTTTGTAATTAGGGCAGCTTGGCTTTAAGACCAGTGGGAGAATGTGGTGTGAAAACCGCCCCCCCCCCATCTCAGGGGGGGAGAACTGAATCTATCACGACCCATTAGAGCACATTTTGTAAGATTGTTCAACTCTGCTGCAAAAACAAAAAAAGGCTCAGAACTCCCAAGTTTAGTGTAAATGTGGGACCTTGTGTAGTAGTTTGTTTTGCAATCCAAGACAGCAGGGCTATAAAAACTTGGCAAAGAAATCAAAAACATTCAGGGAGTCCTAATGATGGCGTCCACAGAGAGGAAAGATAAAGTTGTGTTTGTGCAAAGTAGTGTGCAGAAAACATCTCCGTTCATCACAAGTGCTTCTGTACTCAAGCTAATATAAAATAAACAAAGATACACATGACATACAAATATGTGTAATAAAGAACTGTGTACTTGTGCTGCAATATGCATGTGTGACACTATATTTTAGGTTTAAAATGTTGTTAATTTACTGCTCTGTGTGTCTTTGAATTGTCCCCCGGGGACAAATAAAGTTTTTTGAATTTGTATTGAAAGTGCTTTGAGTAGTCAGAAGACAATAAAAGTGCTATATACTGTAAGTTAGAGTTTATCATTTAGATCCAACACTGTACGTTTAACTTGACAACAGTTACGATGAGTTATGACATCTCAGAGTAAACGCTCTAAAGGCTGCATCGTTGACACACAGAGATAACCGCTCTGTTGACGCTCTGTTTTTGTCCGTTTGAGGCTCAATAAAACAGCAAATCTCTTTTCCTGTGTTCTCAGTCGGACTCTCCCGTCATCGCTCTGATTTTTTCCGACACAGCCGTGGCACTTAACACCCTGTCTCCTTATTACCTTCCCTGCTCCCTTTAGGGAAAGTCCTCCAAAGGAGTGTTTTCTCAAGGGGTCCCCTCTCATGCAATCCAACTCTGCACACAATGTTATCATTCAGCACATTTCCCTGCAGAGCTGCCATTTTTCTTGAGCACTTGGATAGGAGCGAGGAAGCCTTTTGTTTTGTTTTTTGTCCATTAAAAAGTCTGCAGCGAGTGTGTGGACTTGTGTCGTTCTGGGATCAAACCGTGCTCGACACTGAGGGTGGATGAGTGGATTGCATGGAAGAAATGTTTCTTGTCAGTGTTAATCCTCATTTAAATGTGATCTTATTGTTCTTTTTGTGTGTGTGTGTTGTGACCTGAAATCTGTTCTCACCCTGGTCAGACATCACTGTGTGGTCTTTCAGATAAATGACAGAGTTCTGCCCCCTGGTGTTTGTAAGGAGTAAATATCAGAGCCTTTTAAGATACATTCCAGTATAACAGAAAGAAATAGATATTCAGGGTTGCTCATCTTAAACTGTGTGTGTGTGTTCTGTGTGTCCCTGCAGGGATCTGGAGCAGTATGTCGGCTCTCTGCACAAAGACTCACACAGAGTCGTGACCCTGAAGGATGTGGAGGAGGGCGCCATGACTCTGAGGAAGGTTGGAGAATCTCTGGCAGGGCTCAAAGGTGAGAAAACAAACAAACGTCTCAACACTAAAGACACAACGATGAAGTGAAATACTTCAAATGATGTTTTTATGAACCACTTTGCCAGTTTTTACTTACACAGTTTCACAGTTGGATCCTATCACACTGCTGTTAGGATGATAAAGTTGATCAGTTGTATTTTTAATCAGTATGTAACTCTGACACCTAGTGTTTAAAATGGGTACTGCAGTCTAAATTCAAAACATCATAGAGAGCTGTCTCCCCCCTCCTCTCTAGAGTGGATGCTCACTCAGGTCACCATGTGGTGGACTCTGAAGCTTCAGTGTTTATCCAGCTCTGCATGGGTCTGTAAACCTTTCTGTGTTCTAACCTCTCTCCATTTTTCAAAAGCATCTCCAATATTGATCCTAGTTTGAGCACGTTTCTGCTCGTGGAGCTTATTAGAAACATGCAGAGGCTTTTTAGGTCGGGTACAATCACTTCTATCTGAACCACTTCTCTTGCCCGCTTCCATCACTGCAACACCTGTTGACCTGATAACTGCTCTCATATCTGACAAACAGAGGGGTGTCAAAAAACGGCCGTGTGGGGGGGTCGCCTTAAAACCGCCTACCTTCTCTGGTCCAAACAAATCCAGAGCAGTCAGGACTCTGAGACTTTTGTACAGGATTAGGAAACATTAAAGGCAGCTATTAAATAGAGAGAAGAAGATGGTATGCCACAAAATCGTTATTAAATCACAACGTTTTCGACCAGAGCATCATTTTTAATTGTAATTAAATAATAACTCTGAAATCTAAATGAAAAGATAGATTGATCAACAATTAACCTCTGTGTGTTTTCAGGAGAGTTCCCAGCCCTCCAAACCAGAATGCGGTCCGTGCTCAGGGTGGAAGTGGAAGCGGTCAAGTTTCTGAAGGAGGAGCCTCATAAACTGGACAGCATGCTGAAAAGGGTCAAGAGCCTGACGGACTCGCTCAGCGGCCTCAGAAGGTACGGGGAAAGATGGAGGAAGAATGTCAGTGGAGAGATAAAAGTATGAGTCTAGAGAAGAGACGCTGGGGGTGTGAGGGGCCGAGAGCGAGAGCGGGGGGGGGGAATGGAAGATGAAAACAAAAAAGCGGAGCTCGGTGGAGCTCATCACATGGGGGCTGTGATGTGGGAGATTGCACTGTTTGATTATACCGGCCCGGCTGGCCTTCATCCCATCCAAGAGGTCATTTCTGTGTGGACTGAGAAGTGTGTTGATGTACTTCCATCGACTTCGCTCAACCGAATAAGTGAATTAATTCAGTGGACAGTGCGGCGCCTCATTTCCATTTTAATATGTCACAGATACAGAACTCCTGCTCGAGTTCTTCTCACTCTCAGCCCAGACAACATGGAGTCACTCAGTCACCAAACCAGAGAGCGTTGACTTCTTGCTTTGGATGGAGATTAACCCGTCACATAAGAATGTATCACAGTCAGTTTGGAGGCTTTCTAAAATGCACTGACCGTGACTGTTTATAAGAACCAAAGGGAACTGATTTGAGGTCATTTATCACAAACAATAAAAAGGCTTCCCAGAGGATGTCACTTCAGTGATCGTTAACAAAATGGAATTTAAGTAACCAGTCTCGTCAGCATTACTGTGTCATCTCGACAGCCTTTTACATCTCAGGGAAACTTGCACATAAAGTTTTAATATCTCTCTTTTGAAATGTGTATGAGCCTGTGTGTGCGTGCATGACTGCTGGATTCGTATTTTTACTGTTGCCATCACCTGCCCAGCAACAACAGATGGAAATGAGTTAGCTAGTTAAATCTGGTACAAAGCATCTCTTCTTTTCTGAGACTAATGGTTTTTGGGGGGGGGGGTTGCACTCTGTCCCTGATTCAAATAAATTAAATTAACCTAAATGTCGACAAATTCCCAAACATTTAACTCCAGATCCTCCTACCAGGAAAATTACCATATTTCCATGTGTGGTCTAGAAATGCTGGATAGATTCAGATTCAGATTCAGATTAAGACGATTTTATTAATCCCAGGAGGGCGATTCAGTTCCACAGCCTGCCGAGTCGTTAAAAGAAGTCAAGACAACATAAAGGAACCAAACGAAGTCACAGCAGCATTCAGACAATTTCATTCAACAGACAAACAGGTCGCCAAATGAGAAGCCAGAGCAAGACAAACACCGCCAGAAATGTATTCAATACTGTACATAACAGGCTGCTTGGTCGCACACTGTGGAGCGCCGCCGTGCTTCACTCACAGCTCAGGTTGGATTTGAGATGACGCACAGCTAACCTGCTGGCTGGGGATAAGTAGTTCAGGCTTCCACATTTTTACTGTGCTCTCATGAGGTTCTCTGTAAAGTCCTGAAAGACAAAAGTTGTATGGGAACATTTGTTACTTGGACTTTTATTTTTGGGGGTTTATGTAATTTTTTAATCCAGCAGATGTCGCCGTTGAGCACCAGCATGAAACCAAAACAACTGGCGCTGCATTGTTGTGTTAGCATGCTAATGCTAGCGATCTTTATTATGCTGGTATCTTCACACTGCATGTAAATTTACCTGAAATGAGCGTGATCTAGAAACACAGTTAAGCAGTGAGTACAGTATGTTATTCTTCTTTTCTCTAGTCCCTCAATTAAACAACTTTTATACTCGAGGGGAGGAGTCAGCCGGCCGTCCTGGCGATGTAAACAAAGTGAAGATAGGACTCTGAAAACTCTGAAAACATCACAGACAGTGGGACTCGGGTGTTACACCCATTGTAGACAGTCATGACTCACAGAGTTATTTTAGAGGATATACTTGATTTCTACATTTAAGTGTGAAAAATCACAAATAAAGCCTTTAAAGTGTTTACATTGGTGTTGACCAATCATGGACTGTGAATATTATTTTTCAGTCTTTCTGTTTCCTCGTAGCGTCACATTTGAAGCTTTATCTTTTTTCCTTCCTCTTCACAGATGTGCTTCAGAGAACGCACAGAAGGGACCCGATCCCTCCGCTAATGTCCCGGTGGAGAACATTCCCTCAGTAGCACTAGCAGCCCCTGCAGGAGCAGCCCCTGCATCCCCGGTGCCGCCTGGCTCCACATCGGCCCCGCTGGAGCCCCAGACCTCCACCATCAGATCGGAGGTGATGCCTTCCTCTCCCGTGGTCATCCATCATGTCCAGAGCTCCCCGGTCCACATGCAGCAGTCCCAGCAGTCTGCGGCCTTGGCATCTCAGCCCAGTCCCCCGCTTACCCCGAGTCCCAAACCTGGCAACAGTCAAGGCCGGGATTCCCCCAAGGGGTCGACCTCGGATCCACCGAGTCCTGCACGTCTGAAGAAGACACAAGGGAACCCGGTGAATAACGGAAATGGCACCACAAGCCAAGGTCTGATCATCGAGGAGCTCCAGAACAGTCAGGACAAGAGCAAGAACAGAGCCATGTCCATACAGGTCAGTTTCATCACTTTGGAGTCAGCGTTTGGTCTTGATTGTGCCATATTTAGTTTTGTTATTAGCATGTGTCTTTTAAAACGTATTGCATGTTTCATAAGACTAAAATCAGAGAAGGTGTTAAACACGTTCCCCCTCTCTCTCGTACCCTTCCTGTAGGCGGCAGAAAAGGAGTGGCAGGAAAGGAGGCAGAACATGGGTCACTATGATGGAAAGGAGTTTGAGAAGATCCTACAGGAGGCCCAAGCGAACATGATGAAGGGGATCCCCAGCCTGGAGGTGGAAGAAAACCCGACAGTGCCCCCTGTGGCCACTGGAGAACAAACTGAAATCAAAATCAACCCAGTGGAGACGCAGTCAGGTACAAATCTAACACAAACAAAATGCAAATTAAAGTTATACTTCACCTGTTGAAACATGAATCTGTGTTGACTTTGGGTCATATATGTAGAAATGTGAAATACATTTTGAAGTTGGTGTCTTCTTGGCTGTGAAAAGGCAGCAAGTGTCTTTTTGGCTCATGTGGATGAAAGACACCAAATCCCAGAATGCACAGCACCGCTGGCCACTCCCACTAAGGTCCGAATCAGAATCAGAAAGACTTTAGATGTTAGCATAGCTTCCCAGCAATATGGTGGACGTTACGTTTCGATTCTGGGAGTGAGGTCCCACCCACTGATCTGTGATTGGTCTGTAGCTTCAGTGGTCGAAAATATGAGGAACTAGCGTTGTAGTTTCAACCCCGCTAACCGCAACAGCTTCCAGTGATGCAAAATGCAGATATTTGCGTCACTGGAAGCTCCTTTTCAGACTCAGAAATACAAAGATTTCACATCTCAGGGGGAAATGAGGGCGGGATGCACCACCATTCAAAAATACTACCAGGTTTCTAATGATACAAAGATTAATGCTAATGGGTGAAGTATCCCTTTAAGTAGAGTGAATACAGTTCATTGTTTTAGCATATAGCTTACTGTAGTTTATTTCTTTGGCAGGGGAGGCCCAGTCTGAGCCCCCCCCTGACAAAGCAGTCAAGAAGGCGCCTGAGAAACTCCCAAAGCCTGTGCTGGAGAAACCTGCCAAACCTGCACTCGAGAGACCCTCCAAGACCGCCATGAAGCCACCTCCCACCGACACTTTGAACAAGCAGGGGTCTGAAAAGGCCAGCAAGTCCCCACCGCCGCCTCCTCCAAGGAAGACCTTCAACAGCTCCAGCTCAGGCATGACCACCACCCGCTCCGGTGAGGTGGTCTTCACAAGCAGGAAGGAGTCCGTCTCGGCCCAGGTCGGTTGGTTCTGATAAAAAAGGGTTTTTGCTGTGTTTGTGTCGCGGTCTGCAGCTTGTCTAAATAATTTCCCCTCGCGTGATTTCAAACAGGAGGCCGAAGAGGAAGCTCCACCTCCGCCTCCATCTCCCCAATCCAAGCCTGCCAAGGTTCCACCGGAGACCAAGCCGAAGCCGGCCACCCCGCCCCCCGTCACTGCTTCTGTCACCGCAGAAGAGGAGGACGAAGGGGACAAGATCATGGCAGAGCTTCAGGTTAGATATACACCACAGCACTCACACACATTCAGCTACTCTCATAAGGTGTAACGCCTTGCTGGAATTTTCTGCATTTTCTGGGAGTGGTGTGATTTTCTTCTGATGGTGGCTTACTTTCCTGATATCTCACTGCCGGCTGAGATCATGATTATGAATCTTAACTCTTGGGGGGGGTATACAGGTGAAGACACTCAAACTTCTTCCCTCCTCAAAAATCCTTGTCCCCCATTTCCCCCTTCACTTCTTCCCCACTCTTCAGGTTTTCCAGAAGTGCACAGTTAAGGATGTAGGGGTGAAAAATGTCTCAGAGCCCACCGCTCGAATTGAACCGCAAATCAGAGAGCTAAGACCGGGGGCCTTAATGCCCCTCAAAGAGAAAAAGGTAAAATATCGCATCGCCTTGCAGCTACCCAGCTAACCGCCTGCCTCTGCCGACTGTCTGAAACAATCAATGGCTGCGTCTTAACCCCCCTTAAAAACCACCTCTGCACCCCTTTGCTTTTGGCTCGAGAGAAACCTGTAACAGCTGCCCTCCAAAAAAAAAGCTCCTTTCCTTGCTGCCTCCGTTTCCTTCCCTTCTTGTGATTCTGCTGGATATCACAACTTGAGTGTTTCAGGATTAAGTCTGCATAAAATGAAAGTCTCTGAAAAAGATGCTGTGTCTTTTTTTGTGTGTCTGGACCAGACGATGCTGTGTTTTGCTACTGGTTTTAGTTTTTTCCTTGTCCTTTTTCTCCAAACCAATAAAGACCTGGCTGCGCTGTATTCTACAGACAATCCAATCGTCTTCTGTCTTTCTTCATTAAAGTCTTCATGCTAAGTATTTCCTTTCATGATTGAAACTTAAAAAGGAACAACACAGTTCTAGTAGACGCCTGTTTTTGCAGACTTGGTTCACTAGAGGTCAGTCTGGCCACTTTTGCATGCCACTCTCCAACTTCAACTTCTCTCAAAGAATCACTCTTGGCCTCACTTTCCTTTTGTCTTTGCACAACTTTACTCCGGTTTGCTTTCCCAGCTTTACACCTACGTAACCAGCACAAACCCCGTAGTTCATTTTCTCACATTTAAGCTCATCAGTGCACACTTTTTAATAAGTCAACCAGTGTGACCAACTGGATGGGTATGTTCTAATCTTAAATTTCAGTTCTGTTAGAGTTGTAAGACTTCAATGAGTGAAGTGCGAGCTAATGGTTAGTGTAAAGAAAAAAATAATTGCACATGGGGTGAAAGATTAAAAAGCCCAAAGTATTTAGCTGATGCAGTGGTGAGTTAAGTTAGTTTCTCAGTGTCTGCAGGACATCCTGTTGAGGATAGAAAACAGGATGTGTGAAGGTTAAAAACCATTCAGTGGAAACAAGACAGAAGTCTGAAAACAAGTTGTTGCAGATATTAAAAAAGTTGTTGCAAACAAAGAAGGTCTGCAATCAGCCATCTCTGTTTAGCTAAAGCTGCACTCCAGTCTTAGCTTGTTAGCTTTAATATGTGTTAGCATGCATTTTTAAGAGCAGCTCATAAAGAGTGCTGTGATGAGGAGCAGGAGTCACACTGTATGCAGTGTTGAGACTGTGGATGCTACTTGTTAAAGTGTTTCTCAAGTCACCTGACACTCCAGTTGCACAGTAAATATTATCTTAACACGTTGTCCTAGCAGAGCTCAGAGCCCAGTCGTGAGGATAAAGACCCAGACACCGATGAAAATGGGAATACTACTGTCAGGCAGAGCCAGGGGGTGAGTATGACGTTCAGTTAGGAACACTTGTTTTCATCTACACTTCATGCATGTACCATCGTTAAGACAGTTTGAGATCAGCTTCTGCTTTATATTCCTCAGGTGATATACTATGTGACTGGCCAGATCCCCAAAGATCACCCAGCACCGTCGGGAACAGAGGACACCACCGACCATCGAGAACCCGCACAGCCTCCATCACAGGTGTCAAATGTCAATGTTAATGACAATTCTCCAAGCCAGCAGCAGCAACAGCAGCAACAACAGCAGCCACCATTATCCCCGCCGCCCAAATCCCCCACTACACCGCCGCCTATCTCGCCTAAGCCCGTCGGACTGAAGGGATTCAAACTGCCGAGGAAGCAGGTGAAACGATCTGAATCTTTGAAGACCAGCGCGGAAATGGAGAAGGGAAAAATCTTGAACAAAATCAACACTGAGAAGAAGACGAAAGTAGTCCAGCTGAGTGTTTCCCCGAGTAAGAATGTAACCGCCGAGCCGGCGGCGACCACGAGAACCAGGAGCATAAAAGAGGTTCTTAAGAGCGCCGCGTCTCCGACTCATGTGGCGCCAAGGGAGGTCAGCGAGCCAGCTAAAAGTAACTGTGAGGATGATAATGAAGAGGCATACCTTAGTCCTGACCTACCTGGAGAAGAGGCTCCGCCCCCTCCTGACAACATAGCGTTCATGATCACAAACACCAAAGTTCAGGCCTTGTCTTGCGGCGAATACCAGGAGTTAGTCAACGCCAAGAAGGGGAGTGTGCAGACCGTTACCGTGGGCAACGCCGCAAACAGTTTCAACACCACAGAGGATCTGTCCGAGCCGCAGGATTACGGCTACAACAACAAAAAGCCCGTCATTATCATATTCGACGAGCCCATGGACATCCGCTCGGCCTACAAGCGCCTGTCCACCATCTTTGAGTGCGAGGAGGAAATGGACAGGATGCTGGCGGCGGAGCGCATCGACGAGGAAAGCGAAGAGTCGGACACGACGGTCGGGAGCGAGAGGGTTGACGGTAAAAAAAAGGTGAACGCGGACCATGTTAGCTTGTCGTCCTCGTCGTCGTCTTCCATGTCCGAGCTGACGGACGGCGGCACCCTGGAGACGAGCGGCGACGCCAAGCAGGACAGTAAGAAGAAGTTCAAGTTCAAGTTCCCGAAGAAACAGCTGGCGGCGCTGACCCAGGCGATCCGCACGGGCACCAAGTCCGGCAAGAAGACTTTACAGGTGGTCGTGTACGAAGACGAGGAGGAGAGCGACGGCACCGTCAAGCAGCACAAAGAGGCCAAGAGGTTTGAGATCGTCCGCTCGAAATCTTCGGCGGAGAAACGCTCGACCGCCGCCGCTGCGAAGAAGCAGAACTCGGACGCCATCGGCAGGACGAGCGAGATCAGGAAGAGCACCTACAAGACGCTGGACAGCCTGGAGCAGACCATCAAGCAGCTGGAGACCACCATCAGCGAGATGGGACCGTCGCCCCCCGGGGAGCCTGCCCACGCGGAGGAGCCCAGAACGGGCAACGGGAAGAGTTCAGAAGGGCTGAAGAGGTCGTCCTCTCTCCCTACATCCAGAGGGTCGGGCCCTAAGGTACCGAGCAAAAACTCCTCGCTGAAGAAGACTAAACCTCAGCTCCTCCCTCGCCCTGTAGTCATCCCTACTACCACCACCTCCACCACTGTCCCCAGTGCTCCCAGCACCCTTCAACAGGTCTCTCTTTAGCTCTTGTTGCTCCGGGAATCCTTTGGGTCCTTTTTTTTTTTTTTTTTTTTTCAGTTTACCTTCACTTCAACTCCTAACCACTGAAATTACAAAAAAAAAATCATTAATCCACTCCACAGAGGTCATGAAAAATTCCCCCCCATGGCTTTCTACCTCTGTGACATCATGGTGACATGATTGGGGGGGTGTGGCATTTTTGATTTGTTCCCTGCCTACCATATTTCTTCTTCTTCAGTTCATTGCTAAAACTGCGGTTTTCAGCAAGTGGCAAAACTCATCGTCAAAGACACACTTCACGATGTCTAAACTCTGATATCTGCCTTAACCCTTTGAGTGCATGTTCTACTGTGTATTTGACTTTAAAGGTTACTGGTCTCACTGGGTGCATGCTCTCCCACTGGTGTGTTGATGTTGAGGTGTTCTTTTTTTACCTGTGTTAAGTGCCTTGATTCTCATGCTTCCTATGTGGTGTGTTTTTTTCCCCTTTTCTTTTGTTTTTATTTCTTGTTTTTTGTTTTTCCGTTTGGATCCCCTTGCAGAACACCAGTGTCGCTTCTCCCACTAGTCGGATGCCCGTCCCTTTGTCTACGAAGTCCAGGCAGGCGCCGGGTACTGCAGACAAAGCGGGAAAACAGCAAAAACTGCAGGACGCTCAGAGGCAGTTCCGACAGGTAGTTTTACTGTAGGGCCTTACCAAGAGACTAGAGGAAAAACAAACGTGTAGGGATGGAAAACATGAGGCATGTGTTTATTAAAGGAGGGGGGGAAACTACCAAAAGCTGTGAAATGTCAGTGTTTGAAAAAAAGTCACTACGGTGGCCCATAAGGATCTGTTAGTGTTTCTCTCTGGAGTCTGCTCTGACGAGAAGGCATGCTTTGACTCTTTGACTGTTACCCCCATAACATCACTGTACTGTAATGCTTCTGCATGTCCACACTGCTCATGGTTTCACTGTGTTGGTGACTAAACAACAACAAAAAAACAAAAAAACAAAAAATGGCAAAGAAAAGTGGAATCCTATCCTGTCATCATTTTTGAGTTGTCATCACATCTCTCCCCCTGATCCAATCACAGCTGAGCTCCTAAACAGTGTTGCCAAATCCCCCAGGATGACGCTTCAGACACAAACCCCTAACTTGACATGTGGGGCTCGGCTCTTCCTTTTTTTTTTTCCTCCTCACAATTGCAATCCTCTGCTCAAACCCAAACATTACTGCACAGCTTCTTTAACCTCACGGTGAAATACTTCCCTTGCCCTCCTCAAGACCTCGCCGCCATGACTCACTATCTTGCACCATGAGTTTCAGTGGAATACTGTGTACCACATGTTCCCCCCTTTCTCTGCTCTCACGCTTCAAAAACTCACAACCCTGATATCTAACGCTCTCCAGCCTTTGATGCATCTCTTCCTAATAATGGATATCCCCCCTTCAGCCCCATTCTCAGAAGCCTAACTACCCCTCCAGATCTAACCAGAAGCCCCGCCCCCTGCCTGCTATTGCCCTCTCTAACCTTTGCAGTGTTCTGTTTCTTGGTCTCATTTTGTCTCACCTTTCAAATAACAAAGTAAAAACAGAGCTTCTTAATATGTTAGTGTCTCTTAGTTGTGTCTTAGTGATGTTAAATGTGTGTGTAGTCATAGTGTGCTTCTGTGTGTTGTATAACTTGTAGTTTTTATTTTTTTAACATCGTCTCACCTTTTCATAATGTTTTAATTTGACCAGATTTCTTTTTTTTGACGACCAGTTTCTGTTTTGGCATCTCTGTTTGCAGGCTAACGGAAGTGCTAAAAGAGTGGGAGGGGATCATAAAACTACTTCCCCTACTATACCCATCTCTAAAATCCCTGCTTTTTATCCTAGCTCTACTAAAGGCAGCTCCCAGTGTGCACCGAACTCAGATGCTACTAATCCCATTAACCCTTCCTCCTCCTCCTCCACTTCCTCCTCCTCCTCCTCCTCCTCCTTCTCTGTGACAAAGTCCTCCCCCCTGTCCTCTCACAGTCCTCGCTCCGGTTCCCTCCCCTCCTCCCACATCCCCTCCCTGTCTAACGGATCCCTCAAACTCCCCGCACCCTCACAGCACACAGGTAAAGCTCTCTCGTTCTCCTCGCAGACTCAGAATGGTCGAGTGCACTCCTCCTCCTCCGCCTCTCCATTCTCCTCCTCCTCCTCTTCCTCCTCCTCCTCCCCCTCCCCTCTGTCGCCCACACCTTTGGGCCCGGGCGGAAAGAGCATCCGCACCATACACACCCCCAGCTTCACCAGCTACAGGTCCCACAACGGCAGCAGCAGCAGCGGCAAATCCTGCATCCCAACAGCCACAGCAGCCAAGGACGCTACCTAGCTCCAAAACGGCCGCCAATATGGCTGACTTTTACCGCATTTAGCAGGTAGATCAGGTCATGTTTCCTACTGCAACGTTTTGCTTTGTTGTTGTTTTGTTTTTTTTCTGTGTTTTTTGTAAGTATTAAGTGATGCACTCCTCCGATTCATGTTTCGTTCTCACACCAATGCTTCGATCTCCTTTTAAGTTGCATTTCTCTCATTTTGAAAAAACTTGGATTCTGCTTCTTTCTTTGAAAGGTGTAACCAGATGATTCTGACAACATGTTTTATAATGGAACTTAAACAAAAAACAGAAAAAGTTTAGTTTGACCACTTTGTAGTGAGAAGTGGAAGGCTCTCATGGGTGTTTGAAAATCTATTTTTCTTGCTGTAACTATGAATAGAGAATATAGACTCGATGTACAATCGCAGCATACCTTGTAAAAAAGTTGGTTTTATTTTTGGAACCAGAGATTGAATTACCATAGTATATTTAATCTTCTATATTTCTTATGTTGCCAGACATTCAACACATCCCTCGGTAATGCCTTTTTTTTATGAATGTATACACAAAGTATACAGATGTTTTAAAGTTTAACTCATTGTTAACTTGTTTTCTAAGAGTATTTTCTCATGTTTTTCCACCGTATGAACTGCCAATTTACTTTTACAGATGTGTAAAAAAAACTGGTATCATGAGTAATACAACTGTTCTTTTTTTTTTAGTGTGCCTATTTGCCAAAGTTTGTTGTACAATGACTTACTTCAGGCCTAACCCAGGTCACAAGATTTAGGGGAATGAACAAGCACTCTCTCTCTCTCTCTCTCTCTCTCTCTCTCTCTGGGTGTCATGGCTGAAGTGTCGACCTGCAGCGGTGTGTTTGTGCTGCTCGTCTTCATTGGTTAACTTAACATGTGTTGTTGTCTAAATGTAAACAAAAGTGATGAATCAGTTCTACCACGTGTACATAGAAGCTTCTACTAAGAGAATAAGTAGTTTTTTTTAACATACCAAAGTTTATTTGTATGCATGCCTTTCAGATACTTTAGGAGAGTGTTGTAAAAGAATTATGTTTGCACAGATAGATTTTGTAAATATCTGTTTTTTTGTTTCTCTCTCTCTCTCTCTCTCTCTCTCGTTTTTGTAAAGCTTTAAATCATACTATAAAGGAGCAGTGTGGTAAAGACAGAAACTGTGTTGGAGTAGTGGAAATAAAGACTTGCATGCTGTAATGCATCAACGATCAGTGGTTTCATTTTCTTCTGGTTTCCTGTGTTTGTTTGTGTGTGTTTGTGTGTGTTTGTGTGGGTGAGTGTGTTTGGGTATAAATACAAATATAGAGAAGCACAACACAACAGAGCAGTTCTCAATTTCACTTCATCTGTCTGCTCTCTGTCTGCTGCTCCACATAATCAGATCTTCATTCTTTATCTCTACAGCTGCAGGTAAGAATAAATAAAATATAAATAATTATTGACAAATCGACGTAAATGAGGCTTTTATTCAATCCCGCTTTTTATGATGTCATTACATGTAAAAGTGTGAAGATTCAATTCAAAATGTTTAGCTTTTAAACTAGTTTTAAAAAAAAGTGAAGTTGATTGAATGCCACAGAATAAATCATCTCATTTAAATTAAGTTTCAAAACTTTTAACTGAGAAGTAAAGAAAGTCCCGATGTGTTTATTATCCTCACAGTGATTTCTTTAGTGAATGCATCATTGGTGCAGGTCTTTATTTAAAGCTCATAACAGCAAACACACTTTACATCATGTAATTCAAACAGAGGTGGTTAGTGTTCCGCTTCTCAAACTATCTGAAAACCATATTTTATCTCTTAGTGGTGCTTTGTGGAGTTTTGGTAGAGAAGTGTGAAAGTTGGAAAAGTGTCCAGATTCTGTGATACATGTTCATAACTTACACAAACTGTCCTCAGAGGAAAGTTTGGTCCCTGGATCATAGTTTGAGGATTAAATGCTACGAGAGAAGTTGGCTTTTTGCACAGAAGGAACAAACCAAATTTTACTTTATCGTGCAGTAAAATAATTATTGAAGCTGTGTTCTTGTCAGCTCTGGATTACGGTGATGTCATTTATAAAAAACGCTGCAGCTTCAACTGTGAAACCTCTGGACCCCGTCCATCACTCCGCCCTCAGGTTTATAACTGGTGGGAGATTCAGCCCTCATCACTGTGACCTGAAGGTCGGTCGTCCTTCTCTTGAAGAGAAACCAAACAAACATTTTTTAAATATATTTTCAAGGCTCTTATTGGAAAACTTCCACCTTGCATCACAGACCTGTTGGAGTGGAATTCTAGTGGCTTGTACTTAAAGTCCCTCAAGCTTTTTACTGAACTCGCTAAATCTTCTTTTTTTTTTGATGCCCCAAACCTGGGAAACTCTAAGGATCAGAGTTTAAGAATTTGATTTCTAGCCGCTTTATTTGGAATTGTAATTTTTAAAATTTATCTCAGCGCTTTTTGTAATCGATTTGAATTGTTGTTGTTGTTTTATTTTGCTTGTAATCTCGACGTCATTGGAAAATGAGGGAAACCTCAGTGTCCTTTCGAGAATAAATAAAGGTTGGTGGGGCCCGCAACAGTGAAACCGTAACTCTCCTGGTAGAGCTCTAAACAGTGTTCAGGAACACACTTTTATCATTTGAATAAAATTTGTTTATTTACAGTAATTCATAAAATAGCTTAGAATTGTTTCACTTCTCCAAATGTCACAACTAAATCGAGGCTACATAGGCTATTTATGATCTCATGCAGCTTTTGTTGCCCAGGAACACTTGCTGTTTCTAATAAACCTCATGTACACAAGGTGTTCATGTGACCGAGTAGATAACATCACACATGTCAACTTCTCTAAGTTCCCAGTTTCAGGATGATAAAACAGTGTGTGACTGTGTGAATCACTGAGCTGTCCCTCGTAATAATTTTTGATTTTTATTTCAATGCTGCAACAGGCTGATCCTCTCCACGACCACGATGAACATCTCCGCTGAGGAAGCGTCAGGCGACTTCCTTACAAGTCACTCCCACCAGGAGAACATTCTATTTTCCACATTTTACATCCTGATTTTCATCATCGCCGTGCCTGGGAATGTCCTGGCGCTGTGGGCCTTCTTCCACCAGAGCAGCTCGTCTCCGTCCAAAGTCTTCCTGCAGCACCTGTCTGTAGCGGACATCTCGTACGTCCTCATCTTAACCATGCGCATAGTTTACCATCTCATGGACAGCCACTGGCCTTTCGGACCTGTGGTGTGTCAACTGGCAGGCTTCCTCTTTTACTTGAACCTGTACTGCAGCATGTACTTGATGAGTTTCATCAGCCTGGACAGATTCCTCGCCGTGGTTCTCCCCTTGAAGTCACAGTCACTTAGGAAAGCTGTGTATGCAAAGGTAGTGGTCGGCGTCCTTTGGGTGACAATCATTGTGTCTATGAGTCCTTTACTTTTCTCTAAAAAGAATGTGACTAATAATAACTCAACTGGCATGTGCAGCCAACTGTACTTAGAGAGGACATCGCACACGGCTTTGGCCTCGACCATCGTGGCGTTCGTTCTTCCCCTCTCCACCATTGTGGTCTCTTACTTCCTGATTCTGCTGAAATTGAGAACAGTCAGACAACAGGTAGAACGGCCGGTGAAAGACAAAGCCGTGAAAATGATCATCCTCATCTTGGTGAACTTCCTGTTGGCCTTCGTGCCCTACCACGTGAGCAGGGTCATCTACATAGAAAACTGCAGCCAGGGCCGCGTGGCCAAGGCGAGCTGCGAGGCTCTCGGGAAGATCAATCGGATCACATCCGCGCTCACCTGCGTCGGTGGCATTCTGGATCCTGTGTTGTATTTCTTTCTGAACCGTGTGTACAGGGACAAACTGATTCAGCTGTTCTGCAAGGACAAAGGGACGAGGATCAATAAGCTAAATATGTAAAAAACATAAATTATTTTAAAAAGAATGGTCTTGTTATTTTTATATTATAGCTCAAAATATACCCTGGGGTATCCCACAAGTGAATTCATGTCCCATGGAGAGATTTTCCAGAAAGACTAAGAAGGAGATAAGTCAGGTTGTCAGCTGTCATAATATGTTGAATGATGAATACAAAAATATTGCAGTAGCCCTTAAGGTTATTCAAAACAATTTTATTTCAAGAACCCAGTGAGCACCAGACTTGATTTCAACGTTGCAAATCAGGTTGAAGTAGCCAAGAAGACTGCCTGTCAACCGGGATTAAGTGTGATCATGTGTATCCCCCCCTTGTGATCACTTTTAGGAACCTAAGGCTTCTCGAGGTGTAAAGACTTGACAGACTTTAAGTCTTGAGAACTGTGACAAAGCAGACTCTTGATTAAAGCTTCGGTTTTTCACTCTAACTTCAGAGGAAAATGGAAGATGTTTGAATGTGGTGGTTTTGCAACATTTTGTAATCAACCTTAATGGGGTAAGTCTAAAAAACTGCAGCCAGTGTGGTTGCACAAGGTTTAGGAGGGATAGGAGGACCTGTGAAGACAAAGTGGGCCCCTATAGGTTGCTGTCTGACTCAATGAATGGCAATCAAACTGGTTGTCAGAGAAGCACATGTTAATAATGCGATGGTTCCATTCGCTTTCTTGTGTGTGTTTTAGTCAGTCATAATCTATAAATAAATGATGTTCTTATTCTACAAAAACCATAAACAAACTAGGCTATACCATTCGATAAAAAGAAGAATTTCATTTTTTCTTTGGTATTTTTGCCATATGCAGTGAGGATTGCTGGGTAATATCATGTCCAATGTCACGTTTATGTGATCATGTGATGTAACTAGTTTAAGCCAAAATGTGAGGCGAGCACAGAGCACATATCCGAGCCTACAGAGCGATTTATAATGACTTTCAAACACAAAAGGGGAAGTCAAAAAAGACTGGAGAAAAGAAAATGCACTGGGGCCTGTCGTGACTACGCTACGCCACTGGGACTTAGTATCTTCGTCTTCTTATTTTATCATTTCAACAAACTTATTTAAAAATAAAGGCTACTTCCAGACACTCTCAAACCTAAACCATCTTACAAGAAAATAAACAAAACAATAAACTTATGCAGTCACTTTAATTTTTTACCCCATTAAACCTATTTCCCATGATGTTATTTCACTCTTACTTGATCTATTATTTTCGGTGTACAGACATTTTATCAATGAATCGACCTGTTGGTTATCGTTATTGTTATTAATAATGTATAAATAAAAGAAAAAATAAAGAAAAAATAAAAAAAAAATAAAAATATTAATGTATGTTTAAAAACCGTATCTGCTTGTATAATCTAATTAATTGTGTGTTTGTACCATAAATGTGTTAAAAAATAAAGTAGGCTACCTTCTGACCGAACTGGCACCTCTGCCGTTGCTGCTGCCATACTTTCAATTAAAACAGAAGACAACATAAAAAAATCGACTTTTACTTATTTTGACTGGTGCGAGCACCCGTCCTCCGTCCCCTTGTTGCCACGGCAGCCAGGAAGAAGCTGCGAAGGGAGCAGCGGGCCGTGAGTGCGTTCTTGTTTGTTTAGCGCAGTTTGTCATGTTTTCGTGAAGACATGACGCTTTATATAATATCTTTAAGAAGTTAAATGATGTACGGAGGTTTTTTAATCTGTCCTGTTGTCTCTACATTTATCAACGAGTGTGTTGAATCGATATTTGTAAACTGTTACGTTAGCTGTTATTTAGCATCCAGAGACAGATAGAAACATTATAAAGGTTTAGCTTTATGTCTGTGAATATAAAATACAATGACTGATGTTAAACAGTTAGCTTTGTTTGGGTTGTATTGAGCACATGAAGTCCCAAAAAGTAGAAAAAAAAAAAAAAAGTACTAACTTGTGCACACAACATTTTTATTTTATTTATTTAACCAGGCAAAATATAAAGTGTTAATATAATACAACTTAAAGCTTAAACTTAAAATACAAAATATAAAAGAGTAGATATAAGTGGACAGTGATCAGACTAACAGATGTAAACAGAACTGTGTGCAGTAAATGATAAATAAATATATATATATACAGAACTATGTGCAAGTAGGCAAAATACTAAATGGTAAGTTAATAAAGTGAATAGTGGAACAACAGAACTAATATATACAATATAACTGTAAAGGTAAAAATGAGATAAATAAAGTGACCGTAGTGCAATGATGGATAAGAAACAACAGGAATAAAGTAAGAACTGTATGAATACTGATGTAAAAAGGATGAAGTGATGTAGTGCATGAGAGCAGATAAAGCAGAGGCAGTTAAGGTGCATGGTGAATGGAAGGAAGTAAAAAAGCTAAGTTCACAGCTGAGAGTCTGCATTGGGTGAGAGGTGTTGGTGTCTGTTGTTAATAGTGATTTTAATCACTATTAAAATCATTAATAGTGATGAGTTCCTGCAATTTGAGTGTTTTTTGAAGACTGTTCCATGCGGAGGGAGCAGAGTACATGAAGGCCCTCTTCCCAAACTCAGTACGAGTTCTGGGGACTGACGTAGATAGAAAGTCCAGAGAGCGCAAACTGTATGATGGATTTGATTAAGTGAGGTAGGTGCAGAGGTATGAAGGGAGTAGTCCAGTAATAGCTTTATAAATGAAGGTGTACCAGTGAAGAAGCCTACGAGCTGACAGGGACAGCCAGCCTACTTTAGAGTACAGGGTGCAATGATGGGTGAGTGATTTACAGCCGGTAATGAATCTTAACGCACAATGATAAGTAGCATCCAGCATGTGCAGTGAGGTAGAGCAGGCATTCCTGTACAGTACATCACCATAATCTAATAATGGAATAAAAGTAGCAGCAATAAGCCTCTTTTTAGAAACAAAAGGAAAACAAGATTTGTGTCTGAAATAAAAGCCCAATCTCACCTTTAGTTTCTTTGCCAGGTTCTCGATATGGGGTTTAAAAGACAAATTGTCATCAAGGATGATACCAAGGTATTTAAAAGTGGAAACGGTCTCAATAAGAGTACCTTGAAATGTAAATAGAGTGGGCTGACAGTTACTTTTGTCCCTGGATTTAGTGAACATAATGTCTCACTTGTTAGTATCTTGTGTACACATTATTATACATTGTGCCCACAAGTTAGATCAGTTGTTCCCAAACTTGTCAGCTGATAACCCCCAAAATAAGGATGGGTTTCTCCATCATAAAGAGCAGCAGGTACGAAAGTGGAAAAAATAGCATTTAAAAAAACAAAAAACCGAATGCATTTATTTCTGACCTTAATGAATCGAGATTAACTAGTTACAGTTTTTTCCGATTGCTAAAACACAATTTTGCAAACAAGGCTGGTTTATCAAAATACTTAACACAATTCACAAAACCACAAACTGCAAAATACCTCCTACATCCTGCAAAATGAAGCACTGCAACCAAAACTACATACAGCATTATCAAAATCAAACTTTTGCACCAAATGGCACACACTTCATTCATATTACCAGATTTTTGTCTAACCAACTACACACTGTTGGGCATAATGAACAGCACTCTCATCTTTAGTATGCTTTGCCATTATACTAAAATAGTTTGAATTGTAGAAAATATACCAGGACAGTAAAACGGCTCAAGTTGGGCTGCACGCTCTGTCTCACATTGTCAGCCCATGATGTCATGATCAACTAAGGTTGCTCTGATTTCATTTGAAAGTTGTTTTCTTCTTTGGCCATGAACTCCTCTACCAGCTCGAACCCTACCTCTACCAGCTCGAACCCTACCTCTCACTCTTCCTCTACCAGCTCGAACCCTACCTCTTCCTCTTCCTCTCTCTGCAACCTCTTCCATTGTTGTTGTAAAAAAAAAGGTGCTCACTTGTGGTCTTTTCATAGTGCTTACATCCTGATTGAAGTGATAACAATTAACCATTGAGGTGTTTGGCCAATTAGCTCATGTAGTGTCATTTTGAATGGCAGTGTTTTGAAATGGCAAACATGTGACTTTATGTCTGATTGTTGTGTCTTATACAGAGAACCGTGTTCAGTGCATTTAAAAAGTGCCATTTTGAACTGCAAAATGTGTGTAAAGCAGAAAATGAGTTTAGACTGTTGGAGACTTGAGAAGAGGTTTTGCTCGCTGTGTGTCAGTTTAAATAATTGTGCTATGCATTTCATTTTAGTGTGTTAGCAATTGGAAAAAACTGTAATGCAGCCCTAGTTTGAACTATTCTTCACTTTTCTGTCTGTCTGAACAAAGTAGAAGCGATGGGCATCCAAAAGGGCTGAGCACATTATTGCAGCTTAGGCTGTCGCTATGGGCACCGCATCCTCATTGGTCAGCCCGGGAGAGGTGATTGAGGATGGATATGGGGGTGAAGGTGGGGAAGCCTGTGAGATCCCGGTGGAGGTGAAGCCCAAAGCCAGACTCCTGCGCAGCTCCTTTCGCAGGGCGCCCCGGGTGATCGGGGCCAGTTTCAAATCGACAGGCTCTGTGGATCTAGAGTACGCAGCCGAGTATGAAAGACTCCGTAAAGAGTATGAAATCTTCCGTGTCAGTAAAAACAACGAGATCTCATCGATGCAAAAGAAGGAGGCCAAGCTGGACGAAGAGAACAAGAGGCTTAGAGCTGAGCTACAGGTAGCGATTCAACTGGGGTTCATCATCTTATCACAACACATGCTTATTGAGTGCATCATTTAAGGTCTGTGTTCACAGTTCTCATGATGGTCTTCACCCTTAACAGGCTCTGCAAAAGACCTACCAGAAGATCCTTAGAGAGAAAGAGAGTGCTCTCGAGGCAAAGTACCAGGCTATGGAGAGGGCTGCCACTTTTGAACATGACCGGGACAAAGTGAAACGACAGTTTAAGGTGAATCACACAACACGTGTTACTCTGTAGCATTCTGTTAATTAATCATAAATGTAGTCCTCATCCTCTGGATATATATCCTCTAGATTTTTCGGGAGACGAAGGAAAAGGAGATCCAGGATCTCCTGCGGGCCAAGAGGGACTTGGAGGCCAAATTGCAGCAGTTGCAGGCACAGGGTATCCAGGTCTACGACCCAAATGATTCAGACTCGGATGACAACCAAACCACTGTTACTGGTAAGACGCAGAGATCTTCAATATGGGATGTTTCATTCATCCACACCTTGTTTATAGGGTCTGTTAAGATCTTTAAAACACATACTCATCTGTTCACTTGATATCTATAGCTGCAGGAACACAGTGTGAGTACTGGTCTGGTGGTGTACTGGGAAGTGAGCCCTCTATGGGTAGCATGATGCAGTTGCAGCAGACCTTTCGGGGCCCGGAGTTTGCACACAGTTTGATCGATGTGGAAGGACCCTTTGCGAATGTGAGCAGAGGTAAATAAACATCAAGATATACTTTAAAAAAATGATCTATTTGTGTTTTTTAAAGGAATAGTTTTTGCAGTTCACTTATCTCTGTGTTTGTGTCAGATGACTGGGATGCCGCAGTGGCCAGTCTGCTTCAGGTCTCCCCTCATGTGCCCCAGGCCCTGTGGAGTAACACAGTCCGCTGCTACATGATCTTTACCCAGGAGACCAAAGCTGAGCTGGATATCTTTACAAAGGTTGGTGCGATGGGCACGCTGAGTTTTTATGTGGTGATTCACTTTATAACAAACACCTGAACAGTCGAGACAGTTTCTGAGTTTCTGTTTGCAGAAAATACTGTGTCGTTCATTTTCTACCTTTTGTCTTTAAAAAACGGAACACCTGAAACTTCCTGAATTCTTAAAACGATGTCTCTATTACAGAAACACTCTCCTGCTTTAAGGAGATTGTGCGAGGGTCTCGGTCATTTCTATCTGAATGTGTGCTTCCCTGAGGACAACGCCGCCTCGTACACTGTGGAGCGCCGGCAGGAGATTGAAAGAAGCTCCGTGTGCGTGCTTCTCCTCAAATCTACTGTCACCAGGTACAGTAACTCCTTTATGTCCATGTAGTTCAGACTGTTATTTAAAAATGTGTAGAAATAAAATGTCTTCTCCTGATGTTCATGCGTGTGCAACAGCTCTGTGGTAGAAGACTGTGAGGAGGCTTTTGTGAAGAATCCAGACGGGCATCCTCTGGTGCTCTACCTCAGGACTGAAGACGGGCAAAGTTTGACCGGACCCACCAGGCAACTTCTAGAAAGGGTCAATGCTGCAGACAAGGCGGCTAAGGTCAAGGTTTGCATGAGCCGTCTTTTAAAATAAAACAAAGTCAGCAAAGCGGGAGCTTTTCATCCAGTATTTTCAAGACAATATTTCAGTGATTTTTTTTTTTAAAGCTGTCCTTTCACCCAGGTAGTGGATCACAGCGGCTCTGCAGAGGACGGGGCTGCCCTGATTTATGCTCAGCTAGAGAAAGTCATCAAACAGGTTCAGACCTCAGTCTCTCAGCAGCATCATGTTTATTAATCATTCATAGCCGACGGTGTTTAAAGTTCCACTTCTGCTACCCACCATGTAGGAGTTGCTGGGTCTTGAAGGAGCAGAAGTAGACTCTAAGGACTCGGGGATAGAAGAAGGCCGCGAAGAGGACTCGGGAGACGTGCTGTGGGACCTGCACGATGAGCAGGAACAGATCGAGTCCTACCAGCAGGCCTGCAGCAGCACCACCTCACAGTTAGGCTTCCAGAAGGTAGCGATCATATTCTCCTTTCTCTACCTTGTTTTGCTTACATGATTTTTCACATTTTTCACATGTGTTGTCCTCCATGTAATCCTCAGTATATAGACCGTCTGAATGACATGATAGCTGCTCCCCCTCCCACCCCACCTCTGCTGGTGTCTGGTGGTCCAGGCTCAGGAAAGTCTCTCCTGCTCTCCAAATGGTGAGTTATCTCCGACCTAGGGGACTCGTCTTAGCTCAAAGTGTAGGTGTTGGGATAGCAGAAAGTGTCCTCATGGATCAGGACTTTCTCTTTGGTTCGCTTGCTTTGCTAAGAGTACTCTTATCTTGTTCAGGATTGAGCAGCAGCAGAAGCAGTCCCCCAACACTTTGTTCCTCTATCATTTTGTCGGTCGGCCACTTTCAACCAGCGCAGAGCCGGTTCTCATCATCAAACGCCTCACAGTCAAAGTAAGGGCTCTCTCTGATTGGCTCTTCTTCTGCAGATGCTCCGTCTGATTTACTTTTGTAAATGTTTTTTTTTTTTTTTTCTATTTGTTGTTTCACAGCTGCTGCAGCACTTCTGGTCCATTTCTGGCCTGTCCATGGAGCCCAGTAAAATCTTGGAGGAGTTTCCCCGCTGGCTTGAAAGACTATCGGCACGCCATCAAGGAAACATCATCATCATCATTGACTCTATTGACCAAATACAGGTGCTTCTCCTTTCTGATTGAACCTAAATAAGATCTATCCTACCCCTTGCATTGTTTCAGAACGGTTTCTATAACTCTGCATGTTTTTTCTCCTTTTCTTTAGCAAGCAGAAAGACACATGAAGTGGCTGATTGACCCTCTCCCCGTCAACGTCAGAGTGGTGGTGTCTGTCAATGTAGAGACGTGCCCTCAGGCTTGGAGGTGAGAACACCCTGCACGACTTACATAACCGATTCTATTTACTGAATGTGTGTTGTTCTGTCAGTTCTCAAGGTTGTCTTTTCCCCATGAAGTTACTCACATTTCTATACTTACTTTTTGCATATTGCCGTTGTTTAGGTTGTGGCCCACACTCCACTTAGACCCCCTGAGCCCCAGAGAGGTCAGGAGCGTCGTTAATGCTGAGTGCCAGAGCATGGAGCTGAAACTAACAAAGGACCAGGTCAGTAAAAATCCATTCATCCACCTTTAAAAACCAAAAAACACTCAGAAGACACCTGAAAGTGGCTGGAGTTATTGGAATTCAAAATGTTTATTTGACGTTGTGTCTTTGTTCCAGGAGAAGAAGCTGGAAAGGCACTGTCGCTCTGCATCGACCTGCAACGCTTTGTACGTCACGCTGTTGGCTAGGATGATCATCAGGTACGCTACCTTTTGGTTTCAGAATCCAAAATGTATGAGTCATCCCAAATAAATGTTCCTCTTTTCCATCCAGTATGGTCTGATACAAGATGAGATGTTATGTGTCTTTATTCCTCTTTTCACTACATTTAAATGTTTGTATCTTCTAAACTAAATGTGATGTTCATATGTCTGAATACCTGGCTACATGTTTGGATACGGCTACATGCACTCTTCTGTCCTGTGACTCTCCTCCAGTACATCATGTTGGTCACTGGAGAAGAGCCTGGAGCAGTGTCTTCAGTGTCAGGACACAATGTCACTGTACCGCCTGGCACTCAAGATGACGCTGACCTCCTTGAAAACCGACAGAGAGCAACACATCATGAGAGAGGTGACCTATGGTTACACCAGATAACAGTTATTTCTCCATGTTTAAAGGTAGAGTCAGTAGCTTTTTCCTACAAAATAAAATAGCCCTGCACTGGAGGAACTGCAACTGTCACTCACTAAGACTGAGCTACTGACTCCACCTTTAAAGATGTAGTTTTGTTATTTTTATTTGTTAAAATGTCATAGTGTCCTGCAAACATACTTTTAGCTTGTTCAGTATGTTAAAATCAGCTTCTCAGGGACTAACGTAAACACTGTGTGATTTATTTGTCGACGTAACAGAGGGATATTGTGCTTGCTTGTTTTCTCTCTGCTTAGATTCTGTGCCTCGTCTGTGCCAGTCATAATGGAGTTAGTGAATCAGAGGTGCAAGACCTTTTCCCTGAACTGGAGCTGCCTGCCCTGTCCTCTCTGCTCCACCGTCTGAACAGACTCTGCTTTGTGACCCTTCGATGTGGGCTCATTAGATTTCAACACCTGCAGGTGATTTGATTTTGACCAGTGGAATATTAAAGGTCACATATTATGCCAAATAACCTTCACCATGTTTCTCTAAAACTAATATGTGTCTCTAATCTGTCTACAAACCCCCCTAACATAAGAAAAGTCCATCCTTTCTGTCTTTTGCCTGCTCCACTTTTCAGAAAATGTGTGCTCAAACAGGCTGTTTGGAGATTTTCCCTTCATGACATCACAAAGGGCAGTAGCCCCTCCCCCAGGTGGGTGACACTCCCACAGCTAGGTGTTTGTTCTGCCCTCTGAGTCTGCCTTCTCACCGTAAACAATAGGACATGGAGCGAGAAAGCACCTAGTACACCCGAGCCATTCCAGAGAGGGGGCGTGGTCAGACACAGCTCATTTACATATTTAAAGGCACAGACACAGAAACAGGCTGTTCTGAGCAGGGCTGAAATAGAGGGGTTTATAGACATGATCAAATACAGGATCAGAGTGGATTCAGAACAAGACACTTGACAAACTTAAATGATTTAAACTGGTCGATGAGGAGAATAATATGTGACCTTTAAAGAAAACAAAGTCGTTAAAAAAAATCATCCGATAATCGTGTTTGTCTTTCAGGCTTGGGAATCTGTGAGGTTGGAGTTCTTGGGTGGAGGAAGCAGCTCTCCTGCCTACAGAGAGAAACTCGTACATTACTTCAGTCAACAGCTCAGGTGCTTCAGAGCCGTCATGTTCAGCTCATCACAACTCATCCTGCTGCACGTAACAGCTCATATCATCGTATTCTTGTTTGTGTTTAGTCAGGACCGTGTGACTTGGCGCGTTGCCGACGAGCTCCCCTGGCTGTTCCAACAGCAGGAGGATAGAACTAAACTACAGCTCAGCCTCCTGAACCTGTTTGTCTCCCAAAACCTCTACAAGAGGTACAAAACATGCACACACACACAAGCTGGCTTTACAGAGCCTCATCTATTTAGTCTTACAGGTCTATGTTTGTTTGTTCCAGGGGTCATTTCTCTGAGCTGCTAGCTTATTGGCAATATGTGGGCAAAGACAAAAGCTCCATGGCCGCTGAGTACTTTGACTCCCTGAAACACTACGAGAAGAGCTGTGAGAGTGAAGACAGCATGACCAAGCTAGCAAACCTGTACGAGACTTTGGGACGTTTCCTCAAAGACCTGGGCCTCCCCAGTCAGGTAAAACATGGTTTAATGCTTTTAAATAACTAAAATGCACTTTTGTTTTCCCCAAACGTAACTTTTGTGCCTCATTTGTTGCCATAGGTCTCCTCATATGCGCTTATATTTTATAGTAGCACTATGCTAATCTGGTTCTGTGTGTCCCCTATAGGCTGTTGCCCCTTTGCAAAGATCCCTTGAAATTAGGGAGACGGCCTTGGACCCCGACCATCCCAGCGTAGCTCGCTCCCTGCACCAGCTGGCCGCCGTATATGTCCAGTGGAAGAAGTATGGAAACGCAGAGCAGCTGTACAAGCAGGCCCTGGAGATCAGTGAGAACGCGTACGGTGCTGAGCATGCGAGCGTGGCACGAGAGCTGGAGTCGCTCGCCGTGCTTTATCAGAAACAAAACAAGTAAACGCCTCTCTCTCTCTTTTGTGCTGACATGTTCCATGTTAACTTCTAATTCATGTTTATGTTTTTAGTTTATTGGTTGTTCCTGCCAAGTGAGAAAACATTCCAGCTGTGTGGATGATCTAATAAATGTCAGTGACATTATGTCAAGGTAGATTTAAAGACTCTCAGCTGATTTTTATTACCGTATCAGGTATGAACAAGCAGAGAAACTCAGGAAGACGTCGGTGAAGATCCGTCAAAAGACTGCACGCCAGAAAGGTCATATGGTGAGCATGCTGAATGAATGAATGAAACCATTATTGTCCCTAGGGGAATTTGCCTTGCACAGAGATCATAAAAAACACAATACAAATAAACATTTACAGGACAGCACATAAGAACACATTAAAAAAGATGTTCCACAGATTCCCACATGCTTACTCATTCTCACCTCATGTTTTATTTTTTGTCTCCTCTTGTCAGTACGGCTTCACTCTGCTGAGGCGCAGAGCCCTGCAGCTGGAGGAGCTGACCCTTGGAAAAGATTCTGCAGACTGTGCCAAGACGCTCAACGAGCTGGGCGTCCTGTACTACCTCCAAAACAACCTGGAGTGAGGGGGCACATGTTACAGCTGCATGCACACATAACAAAGACATGGAGACACTCTCTGCATGATGAAAATAAATCTGGGATTGCAGACTCTCTTAAATTAAACCATGCAAACTTTGACTCTTGAGTGTCAAACAACAATCTCAAATCGTTGTCTCTGTCCTCACCAGTGCAGCTAAGATATTCCTGACACGCTCTCTGGAAATGCGTCAGCGAGTCCTCGGCCCGGATCACCCCGACTGCGCTCAGTCCCTCAACAACCTGGCTGCGCTGCACACAGAGCGGAGGGAGTACGAGACGGCCGAGGACATGTACGAGAGGGCGCTGGACATCCGCAAGAAGGCCCTGTCTCCAGATCACCCGTCTCTGGCTTACACGCTCAAACACCTGGCCATGCTGTACAAACGCAGAGTGAGAACGAGAACGAGGAAATATTCTGTTTTAGTCTTTTTGAACAGCTGATTCTGTGTTTTGTTGTTTTGCTGAGGATCTGATGTGAACATGTGTGTGTGTGTGTGTGTGTGTGTGCTGAACAAACAGGGGAAGCTGGAAAAGGCGGTGCCGCTGTATGAGCTGTCTCTAGAAATCAGAGAAAAGAGTTTTGGGCCCAAACACCCGAGCGTGGCCACGGCGCTGGTCAACCTGGCTGTGATCTACTGCCAACTGGTGAGAATGTTTTTTATGCTTTTGCTCAATCTTTACTACATATGACTGACTTCCATCTTCACTTCATGGCTGTGTGTTTGGTAGAAGAATCACAGCGACGCCTTGCCTCTGTACGAGCGAGCACTCAAAGTGTATGAGGATAGTCTGGGCCGCTCGCACCCGAGAGTCGGAGAGACCCTGAAGAACTTGGCCGTGCTCAGGTGAAGCAGCCGGGGTAACTTTCTGCAAATCATACCTTCAATCGTGGATTTATTACATTTTGAGATTTTTGTTCTTATTTTTGTTACTAGCTATGAAGAGGGCGACTTCGAGAAGGCGGCAGAGCTTTATAAACGCGCCATGGAGATAAAGGAGGCGGAGCCGTCGCTGGTGTGCGGGAACGCCCCCTCTCGCCACTCCTCCAGTGGGGACACATTCAGTCTGAGGGGACCTGCTCCCCCACCACATGCTCCAAGGTGACTCTGACTGACAACATCAGATCTGGTGCTGTTATCAAAAAGGGAAACTATTGTGGTCGTTGGGTTTGGTCTGTTTACTGTACCTGCAAGTTTAGTAATGAAGTCTGTGAAACATGGATGTTTGCAAGTATGGAATCGTATTTCAACATATGCATAAGTGAGAGGAACTTTGTGAGTCCTCTTAATGGGCCTGGATCTCATGTTTACACCTCTGATATTTAGTTCCTATACACATGCCTCAAAGTGGAAAGCATTAGATAACTCAGCAGCATTTATTTGCTGGCATCATGAAGATTTTGCATTTTCTAACACGTTCAAAAATAATCAAACACATTGAATCTGTCCGCTGCACAGACTACATTACTCTATGCACTTTTAGACTTAGGGATACATGACAAGAAGGAAACCTGAGGTATTAGTTTTGTTATTTCAAGTTTGACTTGAAAATATCATCAGAAAAAAATCTTTTAAAGTGTTTTTAAAGATTTGAAGTATTACGTTTGAAACATTTCCACAACTCAGTCTGATCATGCTGTTGTCTTTTTTGTTGCCAAATCCACATCTGATGTATTTAATGAAGGGTATTAACCAAGCAGCAACCTCTGGTGTCGAAAAAATGAAGTCGAGGCTGAAGTGTAAAATCCTGCAGTTCCTCAAGTGTCCACTAGAGGCTGGCTGCAGGAGCACAGGAAGTCACATATACACCCATTCTAAAAAGCCTGTTTTTACAGCAGAGATGAACATGTTTACAGCCTGGTTCAAAAAACCAAATAGGTGTGATTAGCTCATGTCTGGATGGACACACACTGTACGGGGGGTGAATGTTTTGATGACTCATCAGTTTTGATTTGATGAAGGATAAGAGTTATTCACAATAAGGCGTGTAGCTGACCTGATTGACAGGTGGGCGCGGTGTAACGGTTTGTCAGGAGGTTTAAAACCCGCCTCAGCTCCAGCTCTCAGCCTGTCGTTAGGTTGACTGAAAGTTAGACTGAGACAGCATTTCCAGCATGGAGACCGCCATCGATGGGACTCCAGCGCCCCCTGCAGGAACAGACGGTTGATGACACTCAGGCCTCATCCGATCATATTTACAGTCTATGGTTTTAGAGAGCGTCTGTCTCTAAAATTAAATGTACATATTCTGGAAACTGATATAATTATGTGCAATGACATACCATTCATGTTTTTATGAAATATGTTTCTCCTGATTTAACTAAATAATCAAAGAAAGGAAAATGTATAATCTAAGTATTCTCCAGCCGGGACCCTGATTGAGTAAACATCTCCTCTGAGGTCATGCTGTGTTTATGCAACACGTCTGTTTATTTATTAATTAACCATGATGGTGCCACATGAGTGTCTTAGGTATGATAGGACTTTTAATGATTTACATGAATCCAAAGAGGGCGCCATGTATCGTCTTTTACCAAAAACAGCACATACAATGTACCTGCAGTGTTTTTATACGTTCATGTGTTAATGTAAAATGTAAAAAAAATCTGTACATGACAACACAAGAAATCACTTCAATATATCGAGAAGATTGTATTCCATCTAATAAATACTTTATTGAGACGTGGTGGTAAACATTGTTTATCTGTAGTTGCAGCGGGTTTTGACTTAAAGCTGAATGAACGACAGCGAGGACGCACATCCACTGATTGAAGCCATAGAAAATACAAGCAGTGAGTGATACATGATAATGCACTAACAGAGAGATTATTCTATGTTTTAAGACATTTGATTAGACACTGAACCAAATCAAAGTCCCAACAAATTACCTGTTTTTTTTAGTAAATTACACATTCTCACTCTTCTGCATTTTTTTTTGTAGTGAAACGCCATTTGCAGCATTTTTCATGCATTTCCAGTTTTCAGCTGATAGAAGATTTCCATTGTAGTTTGTTGGATGTTTCTAAGGATGCTTGTTATCAAAGAAAGAGAAAACAAAAAAGCAGGCAGCAGCTGCAGGCTACAACTTCCTCATCTGAGCCATCAACTCCTCCAGGCTTTGTTCAGTCTCCCCCACGGTGTCGCCGCTCGCTGCGCTCTGGTTTGAAAAAAACAACAGAAGAAATTGTTTTAAAATGCATTTTATTAAGTAAATCTACAAATCCATCTCCACAGCATCATGCATTTGTATTTATTCCTCACAAGACTTCCAGCACAGCAGCTGTTTTCATTTAAAGGAGAAGTATATACCTCTGACACCTAGTGTTTAAAATGGCTACTGCAGTCAAAATTCTAAACATCATAGAGAGCTGTCCCCCCCCCTCCTCTCTATAGTGGATGCTCACTCAGGTCACCATGTGGTGGACTCTGAAGCTTCAGTGTTTATCCAGCTCTGCATGGGTCTGTAAACCTTTCTGTGTTCAGCGTGGATATTAAGATGATGACTTTGAAACACTTTGGGATGTTGTGGGAAAAAGCTCAGCAATAATCCTCTAATCTGTGGTGTGTTGCAGAATACTAACCTCAGCTGGAATTGTGTAAGCGACAGTGATGCCCTCTGGGAGGTCTGGCACGGCGCCCGTCGCAGCCTGTAGCTCTGCGTCAGTCACCTCTGATACGACTTCAATACCTGCGCCCGCACAATGTCAAGTGTAAGTACACGAAAAGGTTGACACAACGAGCCGTACAATGAAACATCAAGACACTGAAGCTGCTCACCCCACTCGTTGTCCTCGTGTACCACTTCCTCCTCTTCTTCTTCTACAACTTCAACTTTTGGCCGTTCTGCTTCTTTCTTCTGCAGAGAGACGATCAAACAGAGACGGTTAGCTGCTGTAAATTGTTCGCTGTAGTATTTGCTAACAGACTGTAAGCGCTCGCCTTGTATTCCTCCTGTTGTCTCCGGCAGTAGCGGTCGTTGCACTGGGGGTTTGCTTTCATCGCCATGCTGGGAAAGAAGTCCTGCATGGCGTTGTAGCCCAGATAATAACTGACTGTGCCGAACTTTAACAAGTACCTGAAAGACAAAAAAACAATCAAACCTTTATTTATTATTTGTAAGGACGTCGACTTTCAGGTCCTTTAGGTCTCCATCAGGCGCTGTATGAGGATATCTTACTTGAGGACATTTTGCACCAGGAGGCCCGCGACCACGCCCATTGTTGTCGGTAAGCTGGCCGCACACACGCCGTCCTTTTTCAGGGTTTTTTCATCGATGTTAGCCGCCACCACTAGAGGAGGAGCACACTAAGACAAGGACACGATAGTTATTAGGATGCAATTTTTTTTTATTTAAACCACTGGATAAAAGGTAAACAAAGGTTGCTCTGTGTTAGTGTGTGTGTGTGTGTGTGTGCACATACAGCGAAACAAGCCGTCTCTCCAGGAATGATGAGCTGGATGTGTCCTGAAACAGCGTTCTCACTGACACCAGACTCCATCCAGGTCTGACCCAGTTCATTACAAGCCTGAGATAAAAATAAAAAAGAAGGACAAAAGGGATTTTAATCTGCAGGAGTCACAAAGAGAAGGTTTAGGGGCCAATCACACTTGATTAGCTCCTAAATGAGGAGGGGAGAGGGGGGGATGTCATGAAAAGTGAAGGTTTTGGGTACATAGAATTTAAAAAAAAAAAAAAAACAGTACAGTGGATTCCACCATCTCTTCAGTGAGCTCTGTCTGGACCTAGTAAGTAGTTAAGCCCGCCTCCTACTGCTTCTGCAAAAAGTGACTCAATTGCGACAGCGATGAACTTACTGTGTTAATCGCCATCCTGGCCTCAAAGTTGTCCACACAGCTCAGGAGTAAATCCACCGGCGTCCCTTCTTCTAGACCTCCATGACTGAGAAGACACAGATTCATTTTATTTTGAAGAGAGAGAGATAGAGAGAGAGGGGGGGAGAGAGAGAGGGGGTGAGAGAGGGAGGGAGAGAGAAAGAGGGAGAGAGAGAGCGGTAGAGAACACACACCTGACTCGGTCCATGAAGTGTGTGAAGTTGTCCATGGTGGTGATGTTGTAGTTGTGAGTCTCAAATGAAACATCTGGGTTGATGTTTCTGGAGGTGAAACAGAGAAACATGTTAGAAAACAAAAGACAGAGTGTCTCTCTCTCTTTTTGGGGGAGGGGGGGATGAGGGTCTGTACCTGAGCGTGTGCTCTGCAGCTTCAACTTTACTGAGGCCCGCCTGGTGAGGCTGGAAGAACAGCCGGTTCATGTTGGCCAGCTCGACTTTATCGTAGTCGAAGAGGAGCAGCTGTGACGGTGAAAAGCAGGAAGTGAGAGACGGGAATAAACTGCAACACTCCAACAAAAAGAGGGAAGAAGAGAGAAGCTTGTATTACCTTACCAATGCCACATCTAGTGAGCATTTCAGCGGTCACACTGCCAACTCCTCCAACGCCGACCACAGCCACTGTAAACGTCCGGATTCTCTGTCAACACAAATGAAATGATGGATACGTGTTTGTAGGTGACCGGAGGCTTTATTGTTAATGGTCGACGTGAGAACACACAGAAGAGGACGTGTAAATGAAGGCGCCATGTCAACCTAACGTTTGTTTTTCTGAGCGCCAGCGTCTTTTCAATTGTTTCCAATCAGGAGAGACGGTCGCAGCAGAAATCGGCCGCCCAGACAAAAAAAGAGAAAGCGTCCTGCGTATTATTTCCAAGCGCTCCGCCCTTTTTTTGTGCGGCCGCTCCGAGCGCTGTCAAGTTGAAAAAGATCGATCACTGGTCGTTTTGTTCCTCCTGTGGCTCCAGTCTTGTTCCCTCATCCTCTTCGTTCAGCTCACATTTAAAATACACCGTAAAAAAGCAAACAGCAGAGGAGCAGTGCTGGTCCATACAGCAGACGATGTCAACAGACGGTTGTCATGGAGACAGGAGGGACTTACACCTCTCTCTCTCTCTCCCTCTCTCCTCCTCCCTCCCTCTCTCTCCCTTACCTTCTCTCTCTCTCTGTCTTCCCTTCTCTCCCCCTCTCTCTCTCCTTCTCTCCCTCTCTCTCTCTCTCTCTTTTCTCTCTCTCTCTCTCTCTCCTCTCTCTCTCCTCCCTCTCCTCTCTCTCTCCTTCTCTCCCTCTCTCCTCCCTCTCTCTCTCTCCCTCCTTCTCTCTCTCTCTCTCCCTCCTTCTCTCTCTCTTGTTTTGATGAAGTCACTAATATCGGCCGATATGATCCGGTTTACACTTCCTGTGTAAATAAAAACAATCTCAAGTGCTGCTTTGCAAAATGATTACCTGGAGAATCATACCTCATAATCATCCACGATGCCCATTCTCTTCAGAGCCATCAGCCGACTGCCAAGAAAACAAAGCTCAGATTAGAGAACCAGCAGCTGGGACCAGTATAATGTTTGGACCAGCAGCTGGGACCAGTGTAATGTTTGGACCAGCAGCTGGGACCAGTGTAATGTTTGGACCAGCAGCTGGGACCAGTGTAATGTTTGGACCAGCAGCTGGGACCAGTGTAATGTTTGGACCAGCAGCTGGGACCAGTGTAATGATTGGACCAGCAGCTGGGACCAGCAGCAGCTGGGACCAGTGTAATGTTTGGACCAGCAGCTGGGACCAGCAGCAGCTGGGACCAGCAGCTGGGACCAGTGTAATGTTTGGACCAGCAGCTGGGACCAGTGTAATGTTTGGACCAGCAGCTGGGACCAGTGTAATGTTTGGACCAGCAGCTGGGACCAGCAGCTGGGACCAGTGTAATGTTTGGACCAGCAGCTGGGACCAGCAGCTGGGACCAGTGTAATGTTTGGACCAGCAGCTGGGACCAGCAGCTGGGACCAGTGTAATGTTTGGACCAGCAGCTGGGACCAGCAGCTGGGACCAGTGTAATGTTTGGACCAGCAGCTGGGACCAGTGTAATGTTTGGACCAGCAGCTGGGACCAGTATAATGTTTGGACCAGCAGCTGGGACCAGTGTAATGTTTGGACCAGCAGCTGGGACCAGTGTAATGTTTGGACCAGCAGCTGGGACCAGTGTAATGTTTGGACCAGCAGCTGGGACCAGTGTAATGTTTGGACCAGCAGCTGGGACCAGCAGCAGCTGGGACCAGCAGCTGGGACCAGTGTAATGTTTGGACCAGCAGCTGGGACCAGCAGCTGGGACCAGTGTAATGTTTGGACCAGCAGCTGGGACCAGCAGCTGGGACCAGCAGCTGGGACCAGCAGCTGGGACCAGTGTAATGTTTGGACCAGCAGCTGGGACCAGCAGCTGGGACCAGTGTAATGTTTGGACCAGCAGCTGGGACCAGCAGCTGGGACCAGCAGCTGGGACCAGCAGCTGGGACCAGCAGCTGGGACCAGCAGCTGGGACCAGCAGCTGGGACCAGCAGCTGGGACCAGCAGCTGGGACCAGCAGCTGGGACCAGCAGCTGGGACCAGCAGCTGGGACCAGTGTAATGTTTGGACCAGCAGCTGGGACCAGCAGCTGGGACCAGTGTAATGTTTGGACCAGCAGCTGGGACCAGCAGCTGGGACCAGTGTAATGTTTGGACCAGCAGCTGGGACCAGCAGCTGGGACCAGTGTAATGTTTGGACCAGCAGCTGGGACCAGCAGCTGGGACCAGCAGCTGGGACCAGCAGCTGGGACCAGCAGCTGGGACCAGCAGCTGGGACCAGCAGCTGGGACCAGCAGCTGGACCAGCAGCTGGGACCAGCAGCTGGGACCAGCAGCTGGGACCAGCAGCTGGGACCAGCAGCTGGGACCAGCAGCTGGGACCAGCAGCTGGGACCAGCAGCTGGGACCAGTGTAATGTTTGGACCAGCAGCTGGGACCAGCAGCTGGGACCAGTGTAATGTTTGGACCAGCAGCTGGGACCAGCAGCTGGGACCAGTGTAATGTTTGGACCAGCAGCTGGGACCAGCAGCTGGGACCAGCAGCTGGGACCAGCAGCTGGGACCAGCAGCTGGGACCAGCAGCTGGGACCAGCAGCTGGGACCAGTGTAATGTTTGGACCAGCAGCTGGGACCAGTGTAATGTTTGGACCAGCAGCTGGGACCAGTGTAATGTTTGGACCAGCAGCTGGGACCAGTGTAATGTTTGGACCAGCAGCTGGGACCAGTGTAATGTTTGGACCAGCAGCTGGGACCAGTGTAATGTTTGGACCAGCAGCTGGGACCAGTGTAATGTTTGGACCAGCAGCTGGGACCAGTGTAATGTTTGGACCAGTGAGTCATGATGGTGAGGCGGAGTCTCTCGGAGCTGTGAGCACATTAAATAAAACACAGAATATAAAGAGACACCTGTAACACTCACCTGTACGGGTTGGAATCGACCACTTCAGAGCTCATCTTGTGGATCTTGGGTCTGTGGAGTTCTTGATTCTGAACTTCCTGTTTCTGTTTACATTTAATCAGCTCGTTCTCTAACTCCCTCACGCGCAGCTTCAGCTCCTCCATCGTCGACATCGGATCGTAAAAGATGTCGACGCACGAGCTGAGCGAGAAATATAAAAGGTGGAAAAGAAAGAAAAGATGACGGGATCCGCTCGGAGGGAAGGTACACGTCTTCAAATCAGCTGTCAGGATATGTGTCGCGGTGAATAACCTCCGTGGAGAAACAACAACGACACCTCACAGGGTTCCACCTTTACCAGTATTTTATTTAAGTAATATTTCAATTGTTTTAAATTAAACAACTGGATTTATTCCTTTGTATTTTAGTTGGTTAAAGGCGTATTTCTTTTTTTACATACTATCATCATTTTTTTTAATCAAACTTTATTTGTATAGCACTTTTCATACAATGATGTGGCATACAGTGATTTACATAAAAATAAATCAAACAGCAACAATGTGACCCCTTACCCCCCACCCATAATCCCACAATCCATAAACAGCAGGAGGTTAAATTTGTTAAAATTCAAGATGAAAAATTACACGATAATAAAAATTAAAAAAAAATACAAAAAAAAAATAAATAAATAAAAAGTAAAATAAAACACTACAAGGTTATCCATTAAAAATACGTTTTAAGAGTAACAGAGCTGTGCAGGAGTACAGTTTTTATATAAAAATATACAAAAATAAAATAAAATAAAATAAATAATAAAATAATAATAGAATAATAAAATAAAATAAAAATAAAAGTTTGTGTTTAACTTAAATACACGTTAAATATGTACAGATGACTTAGATGATAATTAAAATATAAATCTAACATATTATTTGTTTTACAAATCAAACATTCATATGGAGATAAGTTGTGCTTGTATATTTTTAATTTAGGTAACAGGGCTTGTTTGTGATAGTTTGACAGATTTCGGGACTGTAAATAAGGAAATGACGTAGATGTGCGCACGCGTAATAGGACCGACTACAACCTGACGTTATCAACACTGTAAAAAAAAAAGTTCTGTCCACCATGAACCTGGGAATGATTCATCCAGCCGTGAAGTGAGACATGGAAGAGCAAACAACTCCAGTGAGACAGCAGCATAAACTCAGTGTTGACAGACTGCAGAGATACCTGTCCGCCAGGTCGGTGCTGTCAAACAATGAGCCAATCAGCGTCAGGCAGTACAGGTAAGACAGCAGGAGAAGAAGCTGCACTGCTTGGTTGTATTATCACAGACATATTACAGGTGTACTGAGATTCTTCTGTAAAGCAAATGGTGTCCAGGTAACTGACAACATGCTGACACTTTCTTTTTGTTCTGTTCAGTTTCGGTCAGTCGAACCCGACTTTTCTGATCCAAACACCCTCAGACAGGAGCTATGTGCTCAGAAAGAAACCTCCGGGTGAGCTGCTGCCAGGTGCACACAAGGTAACACTGAGAGGTTCACATAATATATAAGTTTCTTTACTGCACGGCCGTGTGTGTGTGTGTCGTTATGTCTCCTCTCCAGCAGGGGGAGCAAGTCCCAAAAAGTAAAAATATTAAATATCTTGTGTGCACAAAGTTAATATCTTTTATGTATTTATGTTTTCTTGATGGAATCAGCATTTCCTCTCACAGCAAAGTGAGAGGAAAATAGACTGACAGTGTTTTACCAGCTAACGACTAAAATCTTAATAACTGATCAAACTGACTCTGTGAAGTTTAAAAGCTTGGGATCATTATTTTGAGTCTCACAGTGTCAGGGATGTCTGGATCTGAACGTCAGGTGTGACTTTGTTTTTTTTTTAAGGTGGACCGGGAGTATCGGGTGCAGAAGGCCTTGTTTTCCTCAGGCTTCCCTGTTCCTCGGCCTCTCTTGCACTGCACTGATGCTGAAGTCATTGGAACAGATTTCTACCTGATGGAACATGTGAAGGTAAGTCTGTGCACATTGACATTTACTCCATGTTCTAATCATACAACATGAAATTTGAGCTCGTATGTGTCTGTCAGCTGATGCCAGTGCTTCTAGATATGTAAGACATATGAAATAATTGATCTTTCATGAGATGTAAAGATGCATATTGCGATGAGATACTTGTTTTTTTCCGAGCAGGGGAGGATATTCAGGGATCTGCGTCTCCCTGGAGTGCGTGCAGCAGAGAGAACAGCTCTGTATGTAGCTGCAGTGGAGGTGCTCGCAAAGCTGCACTCGCTGGACTTTACAGCAATGGACCTTGACGGGTACGGAAAAGGACCCGGCTACTGCAGGAGACAAGTGAGAACGTTCAATCAATAAAAACACTTTAAAGGTGACATATCCTCCTCCTCTTCTTCAGTGTAAATAAGTCTCAGAGCTCCTCAAAACATGTCTGTGAAGTTTCTTGTTCTAAATCCACTCTGATCCTGTATTTGATCATGTCTATAAACCCCTCTATTTCAGCCCTGCTCAGAACAGGCTGTTTCTGTGTCTGTACCTTTAAATATGTAAATGAGCTGTGTCTGACCACGCCCCCTCTCTGGAAGGGCTTGGGTGTACTCGGTCTTTCTCGCTCCATGTCCTATTGTTTACGGTGAGAAGGCAGACTCAGAGGTTCAGAACAAACACCTAGCTGTGGGAGTGTCACCCACCTGGGGGAGGGGCTACTGCCCTTTGTGATGTCATGAAGAGAAAATCTCCAAACGGCCTGTTTGAGCACACATTTTCTGAAAAGTGGAGCAGGGAAAAGACGGAGAGGATGGACTTTTCTTATGTTTTGGGGTTTGTAGACAGACTAGAGACACATGTTAGAGTCAGAGGAACATGGAGAAGTTGATTTTACAGAATATGAGACCCTTAAACAACTCTCTGTAAATATTTAGAGTTGTGATATAAAAAGTGTCTCTTCTCTCTTCAGGTGTCCACCTGGACCAAACAGTACACTGCTGCAGCACACCGAGACATTCCAGCCATGAACCAGCTCTCTGATTGGTTAAGGAACAATTTGCCAGCTAATGATAACGAGGTCACGCTCGTCCATGGAGACTTTCGATTGGACAATTTGATTTTCCATCCAACAGAGGTACTAGTTCAGGAACATTTATTCCAACACTTCTGCTTTTTGGCCTCAAAGCTTTAAGAAGTGTGCTTTATGTTGTTAGGCGCGTGTGATAGCAGTGTTGGACTGGGAGCTGTCCACCACCGGGCAGCCGCTGGCTGATCTGGCTTACTTCCTCATGCCTAAATACTGGCCTGAAGGCCTCAGCATCATCAACACCATGGGCAGTTTGAAAGGAATAGAAGGTATGATGAGAAACCACAAAAACACACAAAACACAGCTAATCAAGTAGGGAAAATATTAACTTATTTATAAAGCACTTTTCCTAACAAACAGCCAAAAGTGCAAAAATCCTTCAGTTCCTGGCTGCAGAAACACAGGAAGTCACATACACACCCATTCTAAAAAGTCTGTTTTTACAGCAGAGATGAACATGTTTACAGCCTGGTTCAAAAAACCAAAGCGGTGTGATTAGCATTAGCATCCATTTATTGTTATGCTTTTTATCTACACTTCTAGGCGTCCCGTCTGTGGATGACCTTATCTCCATTTACTGCCGTTGCCGGGGGATCCCGTCTGCTCTGCCAGAGTTGAATTTTTACCTCGCCCTGTCCGTCTTTAAAATGGCAGGAATCGCCCAGGTTAGAGTCCAGCTGTGATTGTATCCCTCTCTGTGATTTATGATCTTGCTGGGATACTTTAAATATCTAATAATGGATTTATTTTTCCTTCCTAACTACAAAGGGTGTGGAAACATTATTACATCTTTTTTCTACTTATCAGGGGATCTATGCACGCCACCTCCTGGGGAATGCCAGCGCTCCCAATGCCGCCCAGTTCGGCCACTGTGTGGAGCCCTTGGCTGAATATGCCTTGCAGCTTGCACACAGGTTGGTTTCACTTCTGGCTCCTCCGGTTATGTAAGGAAATGTCTGTGAATGTTCTTTTGACATGTTTTTTGAATCAATGCAGTGACTCAATGTTTCTTATTTAAGGACGTGATTGTGCTGGGTCTGAGCCGTAAAGGCATCTCTGACTCATCTTCTGCACTTGTTTCACTTTAGTGATCACAAACAACTTCTACAGGTTGATGGAACTCACAGGCTGCATTCTTTTTATTAAAGCCTTCAAGTAGTTTAATAATTAGTAGTGTTGTAGACAAGAACCACACTAACAGAGACCAAGACATACCCGAGACCAGAGTGCTCCAAGACCAAGACTTTTAGGGATCAAGACGAGTCAAGACCAAGACCATAAGATTTTCATCTTGTGTGCAGCGGGGAACCGGGGAAAAAAATCAAACTACAAATGAATTGAAGTTCTTCATTCTTGTAGAAAGAGGCGTTTCCTTCTAATCACAGTGGTGGTGTTGATTTAAAATCCGTTGTCTGGCCATCTGTACTGTGCCGTACTCAAGCATGATTGGCCCCCAGCTGTGCCGGCACGGCCTACGGTCACACTACACAGGACTATTCGTGCTTAAGCACGATTACCTCTTGTACATAACGTCTTAATACAACACATGCATGAGAGAGAGAGAGAGAGAGAGAGAGAGAGAGAGAGAGAGAGAGAGAGAGAGAGAGAGAGAGAGAGAGAGAGAGAGAGAGAGAGAGAGAGAGAGAGAGAGAGAGAGAGAGAGAGAGAGAGAGAGAGAGAGAGAGAGAGAGAGAGAGAGAGAGAGAGAGAGAGAGAGAGAGAGAGAGAGAGACCGCGGCTGCGGCTGCACATCGGAAAACAACACAGAACATGACAGCTGCTTTGTGTCTTATATTGAGTCATGTTTGTCAGATACAGACATGAAACTCTGGATTTCTCCACAATGAAGGCTGACCGGGTAAAAAAGCTTTCGATTCCGAGACGAGGCAGAGTCCTTCAAAAAATAGTCTGGAGACAAAGATGGATTTGGAGTACTACAACTCTAATAATGATTATTATTATATGATTCTGTTGTTTGATTGGTTGTTGTTATTTTAGTGATATGGAGGTTGCTGCTTCTGCTAGTCTCCGTTGACGTTCTTAAAGTGTGAGTTGTACTTCCCCCTGTCAGGTCCGTCACAGGTCCCACAGAAGACGGCCTGTTCCTGCAGACGGGGAAAGGTCGAGCCGTTCTCCAGCAGGTCAAAGACTTCATGAGACAGTACGTGCTTCCTGCTCAACAGGTCAGTGCCAAGAGCTGCTGCCCACAACACAACAGAGATTTGTTGGCTCAGGCGGACTTTTAACTCGCACATGAAAAGGATTGAACTTCAGTTCATTCATGCAATCAGGACTCGTTCATTGGAGCGAGAGAACAAGGAGACAGTCGAGATTGGATCGCATGCAGAAACCGCTCCATTGGATGAGCATCATATTGTTTTTGATATGAGGCAACAGGGTGGTCCTCAAAGATGGCGTCAAAGATCGTGCTCGATTTTTTGGCAGCAGTTTTTGTATTTCTTTGGGAAACTTGTACTCAGATTTCACTATAAATGTGTTTCTCCTGGAAATCTACTGCATAACAAAAAACATGATTTAAAATGTCTTTCTGTCTTTGGATGATGACGAGAGTAGAAACGTGAGAGTAGAATAAAAATGATCCATATTTTCATTTTTAGAAATGTGTAAAACAAACCAAATGTTCTTCTCCAGGAAGTTGCAGAGTACTACTCCAAACACACGCAGTCTCCTCAGAGGTGGCACACCCCTCAGATAATAGAAGAGCTTAAGGTAAGTATAGCTCTTTAACACACATGCATGCAGGGAGAATTTCAGGACAAAGGCTGCCGCTGAAAGCTTCCTGAGTTTCTAATTCACACACGTCCCTCACTGTGTGAAGTTTTCCAGTTTTCCCTGTCAGTCAAGAGGAGGGGTGGAGGACTGAAAGATAGAGTCTGACATTATAATGACAGATTGATGTCTTTATATCAATGCTGAGTGTATTTTGACTTAATCACTGTATCAACAATCGAGCGGAAAAGAGTATGAAGCTGCACCTGCACCTCATGTGTAACGCAAGCATCGTCGTCACCCCCGCTCCCTCCCTAGTGGTAGATTTCCTGCATATTTCCTGCTGCGGTCACACATTGGCTAACCCCGACTTCAAGCAGAAATGTTCCTAGGGTGGCTGGCAGGAAAAGTCAGGAGGACAAATGTTGCCGTTTGTGTTCACACATGCAACTCACTCCAAATAATCAGAGTCCAAGATGACACTAACAATTTTTTAAAGATATTTTTTGGCCTTGTTTGTCTTTTATTGGATAGGACAGCTGGAGAGAGACAGGAAGTGTTGGGAGGAGAGCGGGGTGTATGACATGCAGCAAAGGGTCAGAGGTCAGATTCTAACCCACGGCTGCTGTGATGAGGACCACATACTCTGTTCATGGGGCGTGCAACATAACCACTAGTCTTCCAACGCCCCAAAATTCAAAATGAAAGCTACCGTTAAAGGAATACATCAAAAGTCACAAAGAAGTCACAAAAACAAATGTTATATAAGAGCTCATCGAGGGTGCAGGTTGAAAGGCGTTTGTTCAAATCTAATCTAAACATTGCCCCTCCCTCATGACTCATGACGCTGCATTCCTTCATGCACAATAAAATTCTGCCACTTGTGCCTCAAGCTTCTTTGGCTCTGCTCGTCATCACTTCTTTTGGCTTTTGAAATAATCGTTAATTCTCTGTAAAGTGTAACAGCCTTTGTGTGTGTGTGTGTGTGTGTGTGTGTGTGTGTGTGTGTGTGTCCAGGTGAGAGCCAGGGAGGCGGGGCTGTGGAACCTCTTCCTGCCTGCAGTCAGCGGTCTCAGTCAGCTGGACTACGCGTTCATTGCAGAGGAGACGGGACGCTGCCTCTTTGCCCCTGAAGTCTTCAACTGCCAGGCTCCTGGTAAAAACATCATCGATCCTGTCAGAGTGTTTGGGTCACATGACCTCTGCAGCCAGATTAATTCCCTTCCACCCGTTTTTTTATCATAACAACCTCTCAGTTTTTTAAAGGCCGTCTATTAATTGAACTCCCCGACACTCACCTTTGTTTATCAGAAGTATGATAAAATTCCTGTCATGATGTTTTCCTGGTTTCCTGGTGTGGTGCTTCTCCACAGACACGGGGAACATGGAGGTGCTGCACATGTTTGGCAGTGAGGAGCAGAAGGAGAAATGGCTGGAGCCTCTGCTCCGAGGAGAGATCCGCTCCTGCTTCTGCATGACAGGTATTCCCCTGACTTCTGTTTTCATGCATCACTTCCAAAATAAATCCATATGTGATGAGGGTTAAGTTAGGGTTGTGATTTGAGAGTTGTTAAAGGTTTCTTTGTTAAGTTCCACTCATGAAGCATTAGATGTTTTTTTTTCTCCCCGATGTTCCGGTAATGGTCAGGGTCTTAAATTTGAGCCACGTTACACTTAGCACAGCTGCTACACACTCTGCAGAGGATTGTTTGGATAGTCTTCATGCCAGCAGCAAAACACTAATTCACTATGAGTAATTCCTCCCGGTTCTGTTCCCATTTGGTTTCCACATTTGGTTTGCCTGGAAAACTACAGTCTGCTGCTGCCAGAGGTGATTACAGTGGGTGTGAACCTCCCCGTGGTTTTTTTTTTTCTTAAACACAGATGGTGATTAGTCCTGATGTGGGGATGCTTTTTTTGTCACAATCTTGATTGATTTATCCAGGATGACGTACAACAGGAACCTCCATCTTGTGCTGTGTAGGAGTTGCTTGACTCTCCTGACTTTGTTGAGAGACAGCTGCTGTGTGGATGTTAGTGCACTCTTATTTCAGCTTCTCTGTCTGAAGTTTGAGCTGGATTCAATGAGACCATAAAGCAGAAGCAGGGGTTGGGAGTCGTGATGACATGATCTTGATCTCTTGTTTTAGTGTAAAGATGTTCTAAACTGAGCTGCGTTTTTCTCCTCAGAGCCCGATGTGGCCTCCAGTGATGCGACCAACATGGAGTGCACTCTTCACAGGGATGAAGACCACTACGTCATAAACGGCAAGAAGTGGTGGAGCAGCGGTACGTCCCTCTTTATTTCTTACATACCATAAAAACTTCAAATAAAAGCCCATCCCAATTTTAAAGCTCACATATTCTCCTCTTCAACCTGTTTAAATAAGTCTCAGAGCTCCTCAAAACATACTCAGAGGCAGACTCAGAGGGCAGAACAAACACCTAGCTGTGGGAGTGTACTGCCCTTTGTGATGTCATGAAGGGAAAATCTCCAAACGGCCTGTTTGAGAACACATTTTCTGAAACGTGGAGCAGGAAAAAGACAGAGAGGATGGACTTTACTCATCATTGAGGGGTTTGTAGACAGACTAGAGACACATGTTAGAGTTAGAGGAACATGGTGAAGTGGATTCTGCATCATATGTCACCTCTCTCTCTCTCTCTCTCTCTCTCTCTCTCTCTCTCCTGATGTCCGACTCTATTTACTGTCCGAGACAAATAAAGGCATAAAAGCTCAAACATTAATCTTTAAACAATAGAGTCAATCTAAAAAAGGTTACGGTCTGTATTGTGCACGGGAGCGTCTCTCAGAAACAGAAACGTTTCTATGCGATCGAAGCGTTGCCATCACAAAGCACGACAGACGTAAACACTCAAACCTGCCAACACATGGACTGAGACAGCCATGAATGAGTCATTTAAAAGGCTTTTTATGACTTCAGAAATACATTACAAGTTATTTAATACATTTCACTTTGAATGAAGTTTGGAGGGAATGCTTTGCTTTTGGTTTGCCCGCAGTTTGATGGACGTTTTCCCGTCTCATGAAGACATCCCTGTTAGTGATTCACGGTGAACTAAGGTCCTTAAACTAAATGTTTATGTAACTGTTGATGTGAATGCCCTTTAAATCAGCGCCCTGTTGTCCCTACACTAAACTGACTGCATGCACACATTTTCTGTGTTTATTCTCGGGACAATCATCTGTGACTCATCATGCATGACTCAATTATTTCATACTTTTATAGCTCCGTGCAGTCCCTTCTTTACCAGCTGATTAGCACTTTAAATTAGCTGTGTTTGTTTAATCCTGTTGCTAACACTAAATGTTTGGACCTAAAGAAGGAGTCACTAATTAAAGCCGCCAATGTTTTCATAATGAAAAGCCGCAAGTATTTATATTTATTATTTAGATTTATTAAGCCCTAATTAATTCAACATTTATTTTTCCCATGAAGTGTTTTCTATCCTTTCTCTCACCTCCTGAATCTCTGCGGACTCAAACACATCCCAGATGTTCCCTCAGAGACAGATGTGGTCTGAGGGTTTTTGACTTCCACTTTAGAGGAAAACATCGGCCTGCTGTGTTTGTGTTTGTTTGTGTCGATTCTGCACGGAATTCCTTCCTATTGTGGTAAAAGTTAAAGCTCAATGGGTTTTCCTAGAAGAGAGCAGAATGTCCCCCGTCTTATTCCACGTTTGCCCAAAGTCTGTTTCCTAACTTTTCTCCTGTTTTTGGGAAGTGAATGTTTCCATCAGTCCATCACGTCGGCTGCCAGCTTGAACATTTCTCTCTGTTTGGAAGGAACACTGACGTCCATTCACACTCTCTGCCACCCCCGCTTGCTTGCTTTTCCTATGAAGTGAGTCATCGTTTCAGGAACATTTAAACTGAATTTTAACATAACTCAGCACTCTCTTTTCATACAGGTGTTTCCCAAACACCCTGTGTTCCCGTCAAAGAACACCCTGTGTTCCCCTCAAAGAACACCCTGTGTTCCCCTCAAAGAGGATCTGTGCCCTATTGTGGGCGGCAGTAGCTCAGTCTGTAGGGACTTGGGTTGGGAACCGGAGGGTTGCCAGTTCAAGTCCCGGTGCGGACCAAGTATGGAAGTTGGTCTGGTAGCTGGTGCCAGATCACCTCCTGAGCTGACTGTGGTGCTGACTCACTCTGACATCTCTCCATTAGTGCATGTCCATATGATCCTGTTTGTGTGTATATACTTCAGCCTATGACTATGACCATGACTACAGAGTGTAAATTCCCCCTTGTGGGGATCAATAAAAGTAAATCTTAATCTTAAATCTTATTTGTGTAATCATCATCACAGAGTATCGTCTTCCATCGTCTTTCATATGCAACCTGAAAGTCAAGACTTCTCACCTGTGGTTTTCATGCTGTATTTCTTTAGGATAATACCGCAGTACATCCAGCATTTTAACTTCTTGTGATGTACATATGTTTGATTTTTTTGATTTTTAACTTCTTATTTTTGATAATTATATTCCCGTTTCTTGAGCTGTTGTGACCAAAAAATTCCCCCATGGGGAATCAATAAAGTTTATCTTTATCTTTATCTCTATTAGGCTTGTAATAGCTTCATTTGAATTACTGCATCGTGTCATGGAACGTCCCAAAGAAAGTGAGATTTAAAACTGTAATCCAAATGTAGCAGAGCTCGACCGATTTATCAGCAAGCCGATAATAATAATATCGGTTGATATTAGCATATCCAGTGACTGTCGGTATCGCTTTAAATCTGATCGGACACACCATGTTATGATGACATTTAGGAGGCTGATCAGAACTCTCAAGAACAGCTGTCTATGCCTGCCTCTGGTAACTTCCTGTCAGTTCCTCTGGTCACTTCCTGTCGCCACCTGTGTGTCCGATGAGACTTAAAGCACTTCCTGCTGTTGTTTCCTCCTCTCTAGATCCTCGCTTGTGTTGTACTTCCTCTCTGATCGTGGCTCTTAATAGGAGCATCTGCTGAATGAATTGAAGAATTGTCCTTAAAGAAGATGAGAGCTTCTTTGGATTTGTCCAGGTTAGCTCTGTGGTGTGGAAGCAATTTTAAGACTTATTGTCCCCTTGGCCATAGCAAGGTACCAAATCATTCCCAGACCTGTAATCTGTAACCTCCTGAGCCATAGGCGTCTTAGTTTTGCATATGTACTCACACAAGCACAGACAAGGTTCATGTGTTTGAGGTTTTGGTTTCCTTATGAATCTATTTTTACATTTTTCCTGCTGTAGCCTAAACATTTGTCTGTGCTGTCATGTACAGTACGTCTCCTCCTCCTCTTGTTTGATTTTTAGCTCCCTCACATCAAAGCTGTAAGACATTAAGATGGAGAGGGGATGACTAATCAGGTACTTCAAATGGAAAGAATTGTAAACAATGAAAGGATTAAGACTTAAGACCTTTACGAGCTATCTGCTGAACATCTGCTCAGGATGTTTTGTTTTTCTTTCGGAGCTGTAGAAGTGTTAACCGTTTCATCGAGACAGCTTTCATGCTGCACTTAAATTCTAAGACGTTGATTTAGCCGCCCACTGGGATTTGGTCACCCCGCCCCACAGCTGCAGGATGGAGACGATGCACATGATGTGATAGAAGCAGACTGGGAGGTTGATGAGAAGTACTCTGGAGATTCAGACACCATATTTATGTTGCTTCATAATAATCTTTTTATTTAACAAAATACTAAAACTATATAAAATACTGTGCTGCATATTAACAGGTACATATAGACAAACTGTACATAGATTCATGACGCTGAGATGTTTCTGATATTAATGTACGGTGGCCCTGAAGTGCAAAGCACAACGACAAATCAGAAAAAAAACACAAGATGAAAGAAAACAATAATCGTCGCTGATTGGACGAACGCAATGTCCGTCTTTTTGGCGCCAGGCAGAGAAATGTATGATGTAATGATGTATCGCCCAAAATGTGGCAAAATATTCTCTGACAATAGATTTTTAAAATGTGTTTCTGATTATGTTCTAAGGTGATGATGTCCTTGTGTTTTGCAAATTTCCCCTTTTGGGACAAAGAATGTGAAGTCTGAATCACTGGTTGCGCTCATGTTTTGAAATCAACAGTCGAAAGCAGCACATCCTTCGGGGTTAAAAAGATGGACGGTGCGTTCGTCCAATCAGCGACGATCTTTGTCGACCGTTAGAAGTTTTTCTATTTGTGTACTTTTTTTGGGACTTTTTGTGCCTTTAATGGAGAGAGAGAGAGAGAGAGAGAGAGAGAGAGAGGGGAATGACATGCAGGAAAGGAGCCACAGGCAGGATTTGAACCTGGGCCGCCCGCTTGGAGGACTACAGCCTCCATACATGGGGCGACCACACTAACCACTGCGCCACCAGCCCCCCGAGGCTGTTAGAAGTTTGTGCCGTTGTGTTTTCTTATTTCTTGTGTGTTTGCCTATTTGTCACTTCAGGGCCACCGTACTGATGTCTTCATTATATGATATATAAAATATCTAGTTATATATATAAACGTTTGTAAAGGTGCTTTGAGTAAAATGCGTCCATGATGTTTCGAGTCTCAGATGGTGAAGGTGCTGGTGTCTTGGTCTTCAGAGCCGGACTGCGATTGCATTTGAGTGCGCGTGTTGAGAGCGATCTCCACCGCTGGCTGCTCGTCCACAGGTCGTGGGTGTCTCCCGAGGCGCTGTCCGAGGTGCTTGGCGACCTTGAGCACGTGACCCCTGAAGGAGGACCCGATGAAGGCGTACAGGAGGGGGTTGATGCAGGCGTGGGCCAGCGCCAGGCTCTCCGTCACCTGCACGGCTCGATCCAGACCTTTGCTGACCTCGCAGTCGGTCACCAGCATGTAGATGATGTCCATCGCTCGGACCAGCTTGACCACGTTGTAAGGCAGCTGGGTGAGCAGGAACACGGCCACCACCGCCAGCAGGACGCGCAGGGCCCGCCACTTCCTGTCCCGTCGCACCCCGACCGCCCGGCTCAGCGCTCGCCCGACCCAGCTGTAGCACACCACCATGACCAAGAAGGGGAGGAGGAACCTGAGGGTGACCTCCAGGAGCTCCAGGGCAGCCTTTGCGGGGCGCGCCATGCTGTGCGGGTAGACGGCGGTGCACGCCAGCCGGTGGTGCGAGTGCTTCACCGTGGAGAAGACGAGGTCCGGAAGGCCGAGGAAGCCGGCCGCGGCCCAAATCGCCACACACACGAGGAGCCACTGCTTCCTCGTCCGGGGTCCTGACCCCCCGCTCCTGCCTGATGCATTATGGGCCACGGCGCGGTAGCG